AAGTGATTCTTCCGGGGTTTCCTCAAAAAGACTCTCTGGAGATCGACACCATTTTTATTGACTAGGATTTGTTGGAACACATTTTTAGTATCTCCAGTGAGTGTGATACAGTGAGTTCTAAATTTTAATAGAATATGGAATAATTCACTTTGAAACTATAGAGAATATCATTTAAAGAAACGCCTTATTCAGACTTGTACAGAACCGTCAAATAAAGCCGTTAATTTGGTAGTTTGACTTTGATCTCTAATAACTGCTTAATGAGGTAAAAAAAAAACTCTGATGGTTATTTTGAAAAATGGTATTTGAAGCAATCTTCATATGATTCATAGTTAGATATTCAGTACTAAGTATATAGATATGGATTTTTTAGAGTCACTTTTTCGCTTGATTTCTTGAATAATCCAAAAGAACTTTTTCATATATGGGAGACTGACAAAAAATGTAATGTTAGAATTTCGACTAGTGTGATTTAAATAAAACGCTTCAACATTCTGCTCTTCTTCATTCACTCTACTATCATCTGGGATTGACTGAATTTCCCAGAATATTTTCATTAAATTTTTTATGTCTTCTAAATCTTGACAATTGTTTAAGAAAATCTGATTCGATTTGAAACGGGCACTTTTCTAGAGATGAGCCAAACCAATTTTGAAGAGCTTCACATAGTTCGGATGGTTGGTTCTAATTTCCCACTATCTTTCTAGTTTGGATCAAATCTAAGAATATACCAGATCCCAGATTGACAGAATTCGTCTATTTACATGAAAAAAGGGTCTGGCAATTGTAATCCTTTTTGATGAGGCCAAGTGAATTCTGATGTGTTAAAAATTGGTAAATTTGATGTTAGCTTTTTGAGTAATATTAGCAAAGAAATTCTCCTTATTAAATGTAGGAGTAAAATTTAAATTAACTACTTTCGTGTGGAAAATGTGCCATTACGTGTCCATATTTTTGAAATGACAGTTTTAGTCGATTACAACACGATTCAATGATTAAAGATGTTTGAGAAAAATTATCAATTAAAGCTTGCATTCAAGAAACTTTCCTTGACTATTTTATACTCTTATAAAAGCTGCTTTACATTCTCTGTAAAGCGAAATTGTTGCTTTTCGGTGATGGCTGGACGTTGACATATTTGTATGCTGTGCAAGATATAGTGAATCGACCACGAGGAAATACTTTGATTTGGTCTCAGGCAATTTAAAACAAAGGTTTGCATTTCGTACGAAGTTCTAACGTTCATCAATGTTCATTTTAAGAAATTCTTTATATTTCGGCAAAAGATTAACTCAGTGGAATGTGGAAAAAAATGCATGGTGTAAAGTTTATTATAATTTGCAAAATGTTCAGTTGTAGAGCCATTTTAATATACTTATTTTTATGAAGTTAAATTTTGGTAAGCCAAAATCTTGCATTACTTTCCGATCAACTTTATATGATTTTGATTCTTACTTTTATGTATTTTTAACTTAGTTTCTCATTTAATGTTAAATCGGAAAGAAAATTAAGTTGTACATATAAATTTAAATATATTTTGTAACAAAGCTAAAAGTAATTGCCTCAGTAGCAGCATCGTATTATCATTAAACGTGGAAATATTGAGGTTAACTTATTTTATTTGATTTTAAGTTTAACTAGGTTAACGTAAATTTTCTGTGAAAAAAATTTTTAATTTTTCCTCAAATTTTATATAGCTAACATATCGTGTTAATGTAGTTTACTGCCAGCAGTCCAGTTTTCTATTTGTGAACGGTAATAAATAGAAAGTATATTGCACGAACGTATATTTTTGAAAATTCATTGTTTTCTAGGTAAAAAAAGATACTGAGGTAATTTACGAAACATGAATCGAAGAGCACATTTAATTAACTTTGAAATGTAGTTGAATCTTCAGTCTGAAAGGAAAAGAAAATGATACTTAAATTGAAACGTCTAGAGGTGTCTGTGAATAATCCAACTTTATTTTGTGTTAGGAAATGTATGACGCAATGCTCACAGGTGGTATTGCACGTGTTTTATTGTTTGGGAATACAAATGGAAAGGAATTGCACACAAATGTTACTGCAACCTTGTAAAGTCTGATAATATTGACGAGTCATCTAGGATGTACCTTTTCCGCATTTGTTGCTAAACAGAATGTAAGAAGGCACACAATGTGGCAAATGAATTTGACTTCTAATGCACATAAGTGTCGTAAAAAGTTTTATTACTCTATTAATTCATCATTATTTTATATAATCGCGCTTTTATTGGCATTTTTAGAATGATTTAAAACCAGTCCTGTATTGCAAATCGTTTCATTTGTGTATTTCATGCAGAGAAAGTATTTTTGTTAGTAAAATGATTTCCTACTGAACGAAGTTACCTGTGTTAATAGTACAATATCTAATCTATCTGATGCTTTTACTTCAGACACTGTACAGATACTACATCATAGTTATACTGGGGTACTTCAAAGAGCTTTCCAGTAATCCATTTCCAGTAAATTAATAATCACCACTCTTTTACTATGATCAATTTTAAATTAAGAATATAGTTATTAAAAATCTTTGCACCGAATATTAATACACATTTACGGATTTAGCACACTAAAAGAAATAACACTTTTTCTCTCTAGAGGAGAAATTCACTACAGTTTTTTAATTTAATTCGCCACACTACAATGAATAAGGACTTCAGTGTAAAGTCCTTATTCATTGTAGTGTGGCGAATTAAATTAAAAAACTGTAGTGAATTTCTCTGAAGTCCTTATTCATTGTAGTGTGGCGTTAGAGTGTCATCTCAAGGCACCAAAAATACAGCGCACGTCATTAATAGAAATAATCTTTTCGATACTGCTATCAAAATGTAAACGAATGGTATGGAGATGTTCATTCTAGCCTAAGCAAAGGCTTCCTAAGCATAGAGGAAATGATCTCATCGGAAGTAATTACCCACCCCGAAAATGTAGATATTTTCCCCTATGCGCGTGGTGCGGTTATGGACCTTATAAGAGATACACTAATCCAGTGGGTGTGGCGCGCGTCACCGACATGTCGGCAAGAAAGAGTAGGGACGATCTAGTTTACTTTAACACTGAAACCTATGGCGTTTGTATCACATAACTCTTTTTAATTATTAAATGTGATACGTTGTATAGCGATGAGATTATAAAAGCCACAGTTTTTTTTCAAATAGGATTTAATATATCTCATTAAAGCACTTTTTACTGCATTTCGCCCATATTTTTCACGCGTAATTCTTGTACAAACATCTTTACTTTGGTAAAACGGTAAAAACTCTAAGCAAAAAATTTATGAACTTAACTTTGTGTAAAAAAAAAAAAAGCAAAATTAAATTAGATTGATAGTACCCGATGCTTTGAAATAAATAAGGTAAAATTAAACAAGATCTGATAATTTTTTTGAATTTGATAAACATTTTCAGGCAGTGATTTTTCAAATTATAAAAACAGTACAAAACGATCATATTTATTTGATTATATGATCATTAAATTATGAACATTAAAGTGGATTAGTTATTTTAATAATTCATAAAATTCGAAATTTTATAAATTTTCTGAGCATAATGAAGGAAAAAAAAAGATAAAATAAAATCTAGAAGCACTCAGATTTTATATTACGCCCAAAAGGAACCTTTCTTCAAAGTTTGTGTCTTACCAATACTTATTGAATATCATGTTCTTCGCCCGTAAACCACATACATTTGAAAACAGCATATCTTTAGAATTTTCGCACTGGAGATAAAACTTATTTTCCGTACAGTGCTTGTTCTGAACTCGTTGAGTTTGTTAATCAAAAATTTGTTAAAGTTTTACAAAATAGAAAATAGATTAAAACAAAATCGAAATTCGACCGTCCAGATGCCCCATGTTCGGGTGGAGGATTACATTATTCAAAATTTCATGGCTCTAGATACTGTCGTTTTTGTCACAGTGCGAGGAGCATTCATGCAGATTCTTCATTATTTAATTTCTTTACATATAATACAGGGCGATAACATTTGGTACCAACAATTTGGAAGGAGACACGGGCATTTATAGTAAAACAGCGCAAAATGCCGCTTCGAAACTAACAGCCTTTCTAGGCTACCGCCCCTTTCTCCTAATAAATTAAATTAACAGTAAAAAAAATCCTATGCAGAACAAAATAAATTTTAAAAAATAATCACTATAAAATACAAGCAAAATTAATTATTACGGTTAAATACAATTTTAATATTAGAATTAAATGTATAAACATTTTTAAGGAGTCAAAAGTGTTTATCACTATGATGTATTATGAAATATAATTGAAATAAAATTCCTTTATAGAAATTGTGCTATAATACTCATCTATAATTTTAAAAAAGCAGCACAATTTATAATTTTAAGCACAACTTTCAAAAATTCGTTTTTAAATATTTTAGTATATTTTACTTATTTACACCAATAAAAAGCATAAAAATTGCAAGAGAAAATTGTTTGTTTGAAATTTTCTATTAGTTCAGATTTAAAATATTATTTTCTAAAAGAAGTAGTTACAAATTTCCTTACAGCATAAGAAAAGCTAAAAAAATATCCAGTCCTGAAAGAATGCAATAGCTTTATAATTATTTTGAACGTTAATTATGCTTGATAAATATGCTAAATTTTTAAAAATCAATCTCAATTTCAAAAGTAAAACTATGTAGAAATTCTAATTTGTGAAATGAGGCGCTAAAACCAGCTTTTTCTTGACAATTATACACGCTGCAATAGGCAACCAATGTTAAATTTCGCAAGTCGTCCCTACTCCTCCGGATGTGATCAAGGTGACAGCCGCGACGCCTCAGACGAGGGAGAAAACCCGTTTGGGTTAGTCTATTTCTTATAAGGTCCATGGGTGCGGTACAGAATACTTATATGCCTTCCTGTTAGAATAGGGAGGTACAGACTCAGCGAGGGTATTGCTGTTTTTTCTTGCTTCCTGCTTTGATAGATATCTAGTCGCTATAGCCTGTTAATATTTTGTTTTCAGATAATCCTTTCAAATGCGATTGCAGACTTCTTATGTTTCTCCGTTGGCTGAACAGTTCTGAATTTCCAGTGACTGACATTCCATTGTGCACGGTACCTGTGGAAAAGAATGAGTCGTCCTCCTTGTTCTTGATGTGCCCAGAGCCCTGCAGTTGTTCCTGTACTGAAGATTCCGAAGAATATTTTATGGCTTTAGATTGCAGTGCACGAAACCTGTCCACTTTGCCAGAGTTTTTAACTGGGAACTTTACACCACATGTTCAGGTATATAATTACAGCTTTTTCGGTTAAACTCAGAAACTAGAAAATAACTCCCTCCGAGAATATATAATTTTTCTCTTAGATTAATTTCAACAGTTATATTCATCAATAATTACAAATTTACTTCCGAATAGATAAAAGTTATTTAAATGTTTTAAAATTCCTTGATTTATAGTTTAAAATCATGTTTATGAAGAAGTGCTTTTAGCAGATTCGATTTTAAAAATGACCGGTATAAACTGGTATTCAGAGAAACAAAATAAGAAAAAAAAATAATATTAAAAAGAAATCTAAAAAGCTTGCAGATTTCATATTACTCACAAAGGAGCATTTTTTTTTTCACTTACAAACACATACACGTTTCGAGAGCATTTGGGCTAATGTCCCTTTGGGCTGAAAATATTTAAAAACGTCATATCTTTAGAATTTCCGCTACACAGGCTTGCGCGCTGGAGATAAAAATGTTTTTTCCATGCAGTGTTGCCACTGCTCATTTTGAAATCGTTGACTTTGTTAATAAGAAAATTCGTTCAGGTCTTAGAAAATATGAAATAGTGAATAAAACAAATTCCAAATTCGGCCTTCCAGGTGCTCATATTTGGGTGGAGGATTACGTTATTCAAAATTTGATGACTATAGGTACCTTTTTTTTACACTGCGGGAAACATGTAGACATTCATGAAGATTCTTCATTATTTAATTTCTTAAAATATAGCATAGGGCGATAATATTTAGTGGCAGCAATTTGAAAAATGATACAACTTTTAGTGATTCAGCGCGAAATGACGAGAGACTAACAGCCCTTCTGGATTAACAGCCTTTGTGCTAATAATATAAGCTTGTAGATATATTCATATATTTTGTTTTGTTCACTTTATATTTATCACTATATCAGACTTGATTATTTTCTATTGATGCAAACCAACCCTGATTTAGCAACTGTCCATTTATCCATGTTCTGCGCTTAACGGTTGTTTTCATTGGCCTGGCCCAAAATATATGAAACCATTTTCAAAATTGTTCTGGGCTTAATGCTAGATTTCTTGAATAAACAATAAAATTTTATGAAAATAATAATTTATGGACTCTCTTACACAGCTATCAAAATGTCTTAAAACACTTATATTTGATTTTGCTTTTCTTCGACAATTGTTCTACTCATCCAGAGGTTTGAGGTATTAATCAAAACAAAAATGTTATTTCTAATAACAAACTATATAAGCGGATACAGCTGATAAATGTAATTAAATCTTTCAATACTCAGTATCGATATCAACTGAAAGTGATGCTGAGAAAATAAACGTTAAGCTGAAAAGTATAAAGCTTATCCACTAAAACCGAGCAACGAATTAGCTGCATAGCACCGTGTTGCTGAAAAAGGCTTGAAATTTATATATTACGTAAACAGCAATTTAAGAATCGAAATTCGTGAATCCAGAGTGGTTGAAAGACTTTATGGTAAGCCGAGAGTACCGGCACTGTTCTGCTACGAATAAGATGAATCGGTCGAAACGAGTATGAAACTCATTTTTGCTGAAGGAAATTATTCTGAGTATGTAAAAAATGTTTGACGATTTTTTGACAGAAAGTAGACAGTTTTTAACTTTATAAGGTTCCGTTTAATTTATTAACCAATTATTTTATGTTAACTCGCATTTCTGTCCTTCTCGTTTCCCATTTTCCTACCTGTAAATGTAAATTTCTAGCTTGTATGCATTTAGTGAGGTAGAAAGGAGATAATATTTAAAGGAAGGTTTTAAAGGGAAGAATTAGTCCTATGCCAGCTACTCTGTCTACCCAGACCCAGCTTCTGTATTAACCCTTTGCGGCACAGTGTGTCCGGTCTGGACACACCTAAAAATTTCCTTCTGTACGCACAGAAAAATTGAATGAAAAAGAATTTATAGGTTACTCTGAACCTTCTTGATTTATAGTAGATGGCAGCTCAGCACAAACCAGTCCACATATTTTAGCCATGTTTAGTTTTTTAAGACCCTTATTTTTCAAGAAACCTTCCAGATTTTTTTAGGGTATAAAAGGAATTGTTTGAAAAGAAATTTCTATGTTATTTTTTATGTATGCTAATCTCCTTATTCTATATTACTTTTAAATTTTTACCTCGAAATTTTGCATAAAATCAAACGGCGAACCCCAGGTGTGCCCAGACCGGGCTCACCAATCATCTAGGACAACTGAGAGTCTGTATTCTTTGTTTCTCCGCATCTCATCGGTCAGTTCATTGACAACAATGCTCGTTTCAGCACTCTTTTCGAAGCTCTATTCAATCAGTGTGCCACTTTGGGTACACAGAATTAAAACGATAAGTGCCATCTTCACAAAACAAAATTGTACTTGTGGACTCCTGTAGGCCTAATTAGATTGCCTACCTTTTTTTTTTTTTTTTTTTTTTTTTTTTTTAAATCAAAACTCCGATTTTAAAAGATAGCGTGCAGGAAAGGGTTAATCTACTTCAAGCTCCCGTAGAGGCAACCATATCAGGGCAGCCGGAACACATCGTGCAATTTAGCACGATAATCACGGTGTACATCGGCACTGAAGTTGTAGATGGTGGAATCAGAGCGTGTTATGTCTGCTGAGCCACATTGCTAATTTCATTCTCTTGAGAGCGGTATTGTGCGGCGTAACGTTGGTCTCTCTATTACGCTTGTCATGCCGACTTTAAGTCAGAGCCAATTTGCGCGTTTCACTATTTAGGTAGCCGCTGAACTAATTTACTTAGTTAAGACAAAGTTCTTATTTTTGATTTATGCAATAAATGCTGGCTATACTATAAGCAGGAGTGGTTTCTTCTGTTAAACTTTTAGCTGAGTTAAATGAAAAGGTCCTTTACACCCTTCTGTGTGCCGTTCAGATGGTACAGTCCGAGGGAGCCGACTGCAATACCGAAGAGCTCGGGTTCAAATCCCAGAGAAGGTATGGATGTACATTGTCTGTCTCCTCATAGGAGGTAACGATAGCCGCCTATTAGATGCCTCCATAATAAAATGACCATCGCTTCTGCCCTTAGTAGTGGCGAAAGCCTAAAAGGGGCTGGTGCTTGGGGGGGGGGAATTTATGTGGTATTTTGCAAGACATATCGCTCAAATTCTTGGAAGTTTTGTACATTTGATGCTATCAAAGAAAAGCAGATTTCATAATTTTGCAATGTCAATACTGCTTTAATATTTGAAATGTAGAATATGAATTTTTAAGTTTAAAGTAACACTTTTGTTGTGTGTCTATTTAAAGTATAAAAGATCAAATGCTTGATAAGTACGCATAAATATTTTAGTGTTTTATAATATACATCCTGTTTAAATCTGAATTAAAACGAGTTTTTATTTAACAATAATTTTCATTAATACTTCGACATTTAGTCGGGCTTTGACTATGTATGATTTATCCGAATTTACGCGTAATAAATAGATGATTTTAAATAAGTAAATAATTTATTATTGGAAAATCATTTTTCATATTATGACTAAGAAGCAAGTGAAAATGCTAATGCTTGGGTATTTTATTTTGAAGAGCCATAAAACATAATTTGAATTAGTTTTCATATGAATTACATCTACAAAGGCAAACATACAGAGTGGTCCAAAAGCGTTGCCTCTTCCTATTTTGTGCGCAAATATACATTTGGGGGTCTATATATCACATCAAATGAATATTATTGGCTGATAATTAATATTTATGTTTAAAGAAACAGAATATGAGCATGCTATATAATTTTCGAGACTCGGAAGCAGGGTGCTTCCGGCCACACTCATGCATTTGCTATACCTGCATACTTATTAATTCATGACAGCCGGTGTACACGGCACACGGCAATAGTGGGAGAAGGACAGGAAAATCATGGCGTGGTATATTCTATGCGAAATTTATGAAGCATAGGATTTGAGATTTTTGCGTATGCCTCTCAAACATCCTTATTAAGATCATAAGTTGTCTTAATCTTTACCACGACATATATTGTTTAATAATGCCTTATAAAGCTTTATCACATTACAAAAGATTCGGATTCTTGACAGACCACTCGATCGCTTTTAGAGCATGTGTAGTGGATATGAATCTTAGTACGTCATTAAGCAATGTCAGTCATCTGAAGTGAAAGGTAAGAAATACACATTTATGTGAAGTAAGGTAGTGGTGGGTTGACTTAAGGGCAGAACTTAAGGATCATTCTATACAGTGTATGACGAAATGACGCGAATATGACACTCAAAATTACTTGAGAAGTACATGTATGTTATTCGGTGAGATCATAAAAAATGTGAATAAATGAAAGATTTTGTTTCGTTTTGTTCTTCGTTCTTCCATAAAGTTTCAAAATGGTGATTAATCTTTCCCTGATTCTGCCGATTTAGGTACTGAAGTTGAAGAGTTTTTATCTGACTTCATGATGGCGTTATGGTTTACTCAGATTTACAAAATAAAAAACGCTCTTTATTTTGTAAATCTGAGTAGTCAATAGCGAATAATGAGAAAAACATTGGGCGACATTACCCATTGATTATAAAATCAGTGACAGTATTATCACATATTTTTCCCGAAACATGTGCAAGGTGCTTTTCTCTGAAATAGTACTGTCTGCATTTTAAAAGTAATTAATATTTCCTCTTATACTGGTATGATTAACTAAATACTGGTATGATTAACTAACTTCACACCATAGTCGTCTGCTCAAAATGTTCTCGAAGGACGCTTGAAAGGCTCTTTGAAATGCCAAAAATTATTACTTAGTCACCTTCGAAGCTATAATATGTTTGCCATCGGAATAAGCAAACATCCTGCAGCCCTCTTGATATTTCAGAAAGCATTAGTAAAATGTCTCTTTTGGTACCTTCCCGTAACTGACCGTCGTGTCGTTTCGGATAGCTTGAATCGTTTGAAAAAGAATCATTTGATAAGAATTTGTAGAGACATTAGGTTATTTGGTAGCGGGAGACGTGAAAAATGAGCAAAGCCCTCGTCTAACCTTTCGAATACGCCCTGAGTATGCTAAGAAGGCGAGAAAATACCTTATATACTTCCCCTTTTAAAGGGCGACTGGGGATTAGGGGACCCAATTGCTAAATCCTGGTAATGGAGAATCATCATACAGCACCTGTTTTAGTTCTAGCGTTACTGTAGAGACATTAGGTTATTTGGAAGCGAGAGACGTGAGAAATGAGGAATGTCCTCTCCGGGACTCGAACCTCGGACTTCTTGAATACGCGCCGAGTGTGCTGAAAAGAATTGAGGAAAAGAATTGATGGCGAGCATCCTGCAAAAAGACAAAATGGAAAAGGAATAAAATGCTAAGAAATGTTCCTGGCTATCACCCAGAAAAACGGCAAAAATCCAGCAAAGGGCAGAACCTATGGATATCGCTCAGAAAAACCGTTTTGATAAATTGGAAGCACATAAGGAGAATGAGGAAGCAAGCGCAGACCCGAAGGAAATTTACTCTCCTATTGATTTTCAACAAGCGAATATAAACTGGCTACAGATCCAATATGAACTCCTAAGAATTTGTAAAGAGGAATTCGAAGCGCAAATGAGAGTAATTTCAATTTTCGCGAATACGAAAACTTCAGACAATTATCGAGCCGCCACAGAGATGCTACGGAAGCGTGGAATTCCACACCACACGTTCTAAGCCGCTAAGAGTCATTTTGAAAAGTCTACCAGGAAAAATCCAGGAAGAAATTATTTTTGAAGAACTGGAAAGACATAAGTTACCTATCCAAAACGTCAAGCAATTTAGTAGAAACAGAAAAGGCAACTTCGAAAAATTACCGATTTGGCTATTGGAATTAAAGAAAACGAAAAACGGGCGCGCGATTGATAACCTAAACAATATGTTTAGAATGCATGCGGTTATAGAGAAGTTCAATCCGAGAAAGCGACCAATGCAGTGTTTGAGGTGTTAGAAGTGCGGTCACTCCCAGCACCTGTGTGCAAATCCAGAAAGATGCTGAAAATGCGGATTGCCGCATAGAAGTAACCAATGCATTCGGAAAAAAAAGAAAATCCAACCTGTATATTCTGCCAAAAAGAATATGTCAGTAGATACATAGGATGTGAGGAATATCGAAGAAAATTCCATAAAAGAACTACTCAGAAAAAGACGGTAGAATTTTCCAAAAAAGCAGATGTTTTCTCACCTCTTCCAAGCACAGGAAGAAAAGCAGTAAAGACTACGCAACCCCTGAACTGTGAAAAAGAAAAGCAGTAAAGACTACGCAACCCCTGAACTGTGAAAAAGAAAAGCGTAAAGTGACAAAATTAGGAGAGTAAAATTCGTAGCGGAAAAGTTATCAGTCGGTTTCAAAGCCGCAATGTTTATAATGAAATTCAGAAAAAGAATTGAGGATACTTCGCTTAGACGAAAGAGGATACTTGGAAAATTAACTAATTTAAAAAAATTTCTAACTTTGCCTCCCATACAGATTCCTGTTTTTTCCACCAGTTGATCTCGGGGTCACCCCCCCCCAACGTAACTGACTATTTGTGCACAAATATACATTTGGGGGTCTATATATCACATCAAATGAATATTATTGGCTGATAATTAGTATTTATGTTTAAAGAAACAGAATATGAGCATGCTATATAATTTTCGAGACTCAGAAGCAGGGTGCTTCCGGCCACACTCATGCATTTGCTATACCTGCAGTATACTTATTAATTCATGACAGAAGGACTGAGAGAGAGGAGGAGCTTCAATTGATAGAGATGACTTAAATTGCTTGATTTCGAGGCTTTGCCGCCGCAAAAAATCTATTCCCCGCCTACATGGTGGTGGTGCATTAAGATGCACCCTTGATTTTTTTAAAATTACTTCATGAACGGAGTGGCCTACCTGAACTATTGGTTAAACCTCGTAGAAGTTGGGACCATAAAGTAAATAGATGATTGTGATTCTGATTATAATTCTGTTCTTTGACTGCTGTGCGCGGTCGTGTGATTTTCGATGCTCTCAACCATTTCGTCCGTGCGCATTCTGTAGTTATTTTCGAGAAACTTGATATTCCGGGAGAGTAATATTTATTTTAAATTTCTTCTGGGAGATTTTAATTTCCACGACTCAATTCCGGGATATCCCGGAATTCTGGGAGAGGTGGGAACACTACCTGTCACCGTTAAGATTCAGATTCACCCTTCCGAAGATCTTCTCGTCAAAATTAGTATCGCTGCTGCAGTAGTTCATGACATGCCGATCATCTACCAAAATGCACTTTACTTACTTCATCATCCGTGTGGTGCACATTTCGTTCATCTGGACATTTCTTGTAAATATCAAGCATTATTTCTTGTTCAATAATTTTTAATAACAATGATTTTTCGTTCTTTAGTTTTTCGTATTTATTGTGTTTCCTTCTTCACATTTCACCATATACTGTTTTATGAAAATTGTCTTTAAACATTTGAATATCATAAAGCAGCTTTTAGAATTTCTGATTTTGTGTGCATATCATGCATATCAACATTTTATATAACTACAAGGTTCTGCAGCTTTCTTTAGATAACATGTTAATGTTATTTTTTACCATTTAAATGAAATAATTTATTATTCTTTTCAGAGTTCTTCGGATTTGATTGTTCATCTTCTGCGGCGACTGGAGTATGAACAAACATTTGATTCCCAATTTGAAATTCGTGACGAAGTGTTGAGCATCGATCTGTCAAATAATCGCTTAAGTTCACTGGCCGAAGCAAGGTTACCGATTGGACTTAGGCAGCTCCATCTCGCAAACAACACATTGCAAAAATTACCAGAATCTATATCTAATTCGTTGCCAAAATTGAGAACAGTTAGTCTTGCTGGAAATCCATGGGAGTGTAACTGTAATACTGTTGGATTCAAAAAATGGTTGCTTTCGAAGATGGACATCGTAAGTTTCCTTTCAGTGTAATTTTTACATCAATGAACTTCCGAAATACACATCGGAATATGAAAAAAAAGAGGCAGTTGAAAATTATTTTATCCTTATTATTATTTCTTCATCGAAGCTGGTAGTTTCTTCTCTCACAGTTAGCTATTTCATTATGCAGAATGTTTTAAAATGATTGTACGAATAAATATTTGAGCGATTAGTCATAAACAGTGACTGTCTTGCAGTAATTGAATTGAAAGAGGTAGATTTTCAGAGCGAGACAATTTTGGGGCATGGTATTCTGTTTTAGATTAATTCTTTATTAATTATTTAAACTTCATCTTATTCGCCCGAATTATTGCCGTCACAGTTAAGTTTAGGTCTATAGAAGACCTTCCGTAATCATTCGCAAATGAAATCAAACTAAAATATTTATTGCTACGACTCTAAAATTTATACACATTCAAATTTCTAAATTAACGTACGTTATCTACTGTTATTTACGAAGTCTGAAATTAAACAAATCTGGACGGGAGAAGATTTTAATGGTCGCCCAAAAGGCCGCTTTTAAATTTTAATCATCAGTATATATAAATAGATAAACAGTAGTCATCTATTATTATTATATATTTAATCAGTAGATATAAATAGTGAATAATAAAGATATCCCAAGTGGAATAAAGAAAAAATTTATAGGCTGTTAAATAAATATTCGTTAAGAAAAAATATATAATTCTTTGAAAATTTACTATTAAACATAGTTCTATTAAATTATATTATAATTATAAATTTTAATTAGATATATCGTGAATCAAATGCATTTTTATTTAAATTAATTATATTAAAAATAAAAAAAATAATATTCTTAAGAACTGCATCTATTATGAAGATACAATAACACGCCGAACAAATATTAATTTAGAAGTCAAACAGCAAAAATCAGCGTTATATTTTCAAATTTTCACAGGACTAGTTTCGATGGTTATACCGAACTATCATCCTCAGCTGCAAAAGCATAATTGAACGAGATAGGATATAATATTAAGATAAGAAACTGCATCTATTGCTTTTAAAAGGCTTAGTTTGATAATCAATAACAGACAGATTAAATTTGAAAGATCCTTGTAAATATAAGTTTGAAACCTTACGTTTTGCCGAATGGCAACAAACTTGAATGAAATGTAAACGACGCATTTACAGTGGCTGACGCAAAATTGCGCTTCGAGACTTCGCCCTTTGGGTTTAAAAAGATTTCAGCCGCCATTTACGATCAAAATTACTGGAGAAATCATTAATTAAACTTTTTGAGGACCATATAGAAGTACTGGTAAAAGTTCCGGAATGCAAATTTTTAAATCAGTTTAAATTCCAGAATGTATGTTAGGGAAAATTTATACAAGTGTTTTTAATTTATAAAGAATTTAATAAAAATGATGTGTTTCAGATTTCTGTTTACATATAAATTTTCGGTTGTAATATCCCTCTTATGTTAAACTTCAAAATATTTTATTTAGCGAAATTAAATTCAATCTATCTATAAACTCAATGTTTTTGCGATTTTTATCGGTTGAAACGTTTGCATTAGAGGCAGAATGTATTTGTTTAATCTTAAAATCAGAGAAAAGTATTATCTATTTTTAAGGTTGCGTTCAAATCTATAATTAAATGTTCAAATCTATTACTAAATGTTCAGGAAAATCTCATTTTACGTTGAAGACTTCATGTAAAGTAAGAAACGTTAAGTTAAAAAAGGAAATAATCATCGTTATATATTGAATAAATGCTTTTAGTGTCACTGTTGCATTTTCAGAAAAAGTCCGATTTTTTTGTCAAAATACCTATGTTGGAACAATTGCTATAGATAAGTCTGATGTATATCCTAAGTCGTGCTTTCGAGACATGAAAAACGGAAATTTCGTCAACCAGCGCAATAGAACGGAAATATAAAACTGTCCCTTCTTTTGGCAAGGTGTAAACATTTTTTCAAACGCTTTTCTCGTGCGGCCATTATACAGTTCAGTCGCTCTCTAAATTTAATAAAACTTGAAGAATAAAACATGTCTGAAACAAACAAATTTAAATTCTGTTGTTACGAGAGGCATTTTGTAAGTTCGAAACTTAAGTTTGATGTAATATTTGTGGAATGACGAAACTTGGTATAATCCTTTGGAAATATAAAAAGGAAAGCATATAGAGAGGAGATATTATTTTGCCCACGTTCTTATGTAATATCAAGTTTCTTCACATTTATCAAGCATTTTGTATCTCTACAACTAGAAACATGATCTCTACTTGTATTATGCTTTGCAATGTACACTACTCGACATTGAAAATGCAACACCAAGAAGGAGTGGTCAGAAAGTGATGAAATTTGGAAAAAAGACAGAGACAGCAAACAGCAATAAGTGATCTTTATTTCAAAATGATTGTCAGAATACAGAGCGAGAACGGCGTCGGCACAGTAGGATGTAGGACCACCGCGAACAGAGATGCACGAAGAAACACGTCTAGGCATAGAGTCAATAAGAGTGCGGATGATGTCCCGAGGGATGGCTTTCCATTCCCTTTCAACCTTTGACACAGTTCGTCTTCTGAACAAGGCAGTGGCAGAGTCTGCAAACGGCGTCCAATCGCATATTACACATGTTCGATTGGTGACAGGTCAGGAGAGTACGGTGGCCAGGGAAACATCTGTATACCTTGCAGAGCATGTTGGCAGATGCGAGCACCGTGTGGTCGGGCGTTATCCTGCTGAAAAATTGCATTAGGCAGTCCCTGAAGGTAGGGGATTGCCACCGGCCCCAGTACATTATCCAAGGATCGTTGGGCCGTCATAGTGCCCTGAATACGAACTAGAGGTGACTTGGAATCGTAGGCAATAGCGCCCCAAACCATTATGCCACGTTGTCGCGCGGTGGGGCGTTCTACAGTTACTGCCGGATTAGATCTGTCTCCACGTCGATGCCGCACACGTATGCGGCGACTGTCACTGGATGAAAAGAAGCGTGTCTCATCTGAGAACACGACGTTTCGCCATTCTGTCATCCACATCGCTCCAGTCCGGCACCATTCTAAACGTTGGCGTCTATGCTTTGGGGTCAATGGCAGTCTTCTTAATGGGCATCGTAAGTGCAGGCCACGTTCAACCAATCGACGGGAAATGGTTCTGGTCGACACGGGAATATCCAGGGTATCTTGCACATGCTGCCGAATCGCGGTACAAGTGACTTGCGGGACCTTCACAGCTTGTCGGTGGATGCGTCGATCCACGCGTGCTGACATCACTCTGGCTGTACCTGCACTCCTCCTTCTTCCCACATTTCCTTGTTCCAACCATGTTCGCTATAGCCGATGCACCGTGCTCACATCCATGTGGGTATCAGCTGCGATTTGACGTAAGGACCAATCCCCCTTCTCAGTCCGATCACCATACCCCTCGTAAAATCGTCTATCTGCTGGAAGTGTCTTTGTTGACAGCGGCCTGGCATTCTCTCCTATTACACGTATCCTCCGGAACAAAAACCAACTTTCTTCGATAATTTTTCTGGCAGAAATAACGATACGAATATTGCCCATTCTGCACTTTTGTTCTCTTATATCTTACTTCACGTGCGTCGGAGAGCTGCGCATTTCACGTCATTCGCATAACTCAGTGACGTGCGTCTACTCTAAAACTTGCATAAATTTCTGACCTTTCCTTCTTGGTGTTGCATTTTCAATGTCGAGCAGTGTATTATGAAATTTGTATTACTTGTGTACCACATCTCAGAAACTTTTTCTTTCGCACTGCTTGAAAGTGCTTTCGCTTCTAGAATTTTTACATTTGCATAAGCAAGATGCCTGTTATTTTTCATCAGCTGTTAGCTCCTTCCTTTTTATCGGATCCACATCTCCGCACGTAACCCAGTTCATTAAGACGCAAAGTTAATCCACTAGAAAATGTCAAAATAGGCTAACTTTAGCTTCCAAGTCCAGATGTTATTATCTGATTTCTAAGAGGCTGTTAAAGTGTTATCAGTGATATTTGTTAACATTAAAAACATCAAACATCGTTTAATGCCTGAGTTTTTGACAGAGGGAGACATAACACGGACAGATATTCCTGAACACGTGCTTTCAATCCATGTTAATGTAACACTTTCCTATAACGCCTCCAAAAAGAAAGCTATCATGTTTAAATAGAAGAGAGTGTCACTCAAATAATGATCCCAGATCAGTCCGTAATATGAATATGATCATTGGAGAAATGTATTTCCTACTCGAGGGCTATGTGACTGAAAAGAGCTGAGTGACAATTTCTCAGACTGGAATGGAATTGGGTATCAGTTTTGGATCAGTAGAAGAAAGGTCCTCAGAAAAAGCTGAAGATTTCTAAGGTCTATGCCAGATGAGTTCCCAGAATGATATCATCAGGTATGAAGGTCAAATATTTTTGAGAACTGCTATCCATGATAAATGTCAATAAGATGATGCATGGCTCATCCATGGGACCTTGAAAAATTAACACAAATCTTCCCAAACTCATAAGTTCAGAAGTCAGTTATCCGCTGGGAAGACTTTGGGCACTATTTGTTAAGATGAAAAGGGAATACTACTGCTGTTTTGTTATATACCTTAATATCAACAATAACTTATGTTTGTTATACTGGCATGTTGACTTAACTGCGACATGCCGTGAAATGTCGTGAGAAACTCAGCAGAAAAGTGTTGCTTTTCCATGATAACATTCCTAAATAATTTAGGCGAGCAGGTTACATGATATAGGCGCCAAGATATAGTCGCATCCTGTATGTAATATTGGGGTAAATTGATAGCAATTATGATTAGCATTTGGGTTCTTAAATGCAACACTCAGTTTTATGTAAGAGTGCAGATTTAGGCATCTCCCCTTCATCCAATATATTCTTTAAATTGGCTTTAAGTGATTTGTTTCAAAAACTGAAGTAACATTTGGTAGTTCTGATTTGAAAGATACCATCCAGGAATGATTTGAAGGTTGTCATGAAACAATTTTTTTCTTTTTTTGGGGGGATGGGCTTACAATCTAACATTTAACACATCACTGTGCTAAGTACATTAAAGTCGAGGGAAACTATGCAGAAAATAGAAAAAAAATTAGACATTTATCTTATGCAAGTGTGCTAAACTTAAAACATACTGAACGCACCCTGCAACTACCTGCGTAGCTCTGATTTTGAAATGGGTAGGATGAATATACATTCCAGCAGTTTTCTGACTTGACTGTTAAAGTTATTATTTATTATACCTTCACACAGGCACACATACATATACCTGCATGAAATGGTTTTTTTGTGCGAGTGAATAGTAAACTTTAAAAGTAAAAATATTTGTGTGGCTATTTTACATGGATCATCGTTTTGACATTATATTCCTAATTGTAAATTGAGGAGCAGACATTACATGGATCTAGACATTCTGCGAGAGTATAACGTTAACTAAGACGGAAGGAAGATTCAGCAGATTATCTATCTTATTTTAAGCCTTCGAATTTGACTTATTATTCTCTTATTGTTGTACGTTAACTTCTTAATACAATGAAAATCAAATAGCTTGACGTTTTTCAGGCAGAACGCTGATTATCGGAACTCTAAAGTGTGCTTGCGATAGAACCACTGAATTAAAGTGTTTGCATTAGGACATTGAAATGTAAATGGTATCGTAAAAACAATAGCTTTTTTGAAATAATATTCCAACTTGAAACAGAAATCATATTGCTACATACTTTTTAAAAAAATGAATAATTCCATTTTTAAGTTTTATATGTATGCAGAATTTTAAAATTGTCAAAATGTGTGCCGTTTCTGCAACTTATTTCTGCAGAGAAACTACTTACGAATAGGTAACGTCTTTAAGAACAACTGAAAAACAAATATGTAAAACAACATGCTGATGAAGTACATCAAATCTTATTGAATAGCAGTAGGAATGTGTTGTAGCTTGCATTGGATTGTATTGTTTACTGCATACTAGCATTATCTGCCTGGGATTATAATAGGAAATGAATGCCTTTGCAGAATACATGCTAAACGAAACTGGTTCATATTCACGTTTCATATGTGAAAAATCACAAAAACTTCATACAGTCTCCTCCTTCACCGGGATTCAGACCCGGGTCAAACTACAAGCATTTAGAAGTCTTATTCACTCTGTCACTGGTGTACTGGAAAAGCAAAATTAGCGGATGATCCACTTCGCATTTAATGCGTTAATTAAAATATTTTTGTTTCGCTTTTATTTGGCGACACATTGTTGTAGATCACTGCATTGTTCTTCAGTTCAACGAAAATTACCAATGCCAAAGTAGGTAAGACCACTTGAACATGGATAACTCTATCCAAGTTCAGATATTGATGAATGAGCTATCTGCATGGGCGTTTTCATAACTTCCCTCATCTGTAACAGAAATATCATACAAACCGAGGTTTTTTAGAAAGTTCTCCGTATCGGCTTTCTTTTCTTCAAGCAGATAGCCCTAGCATGACTTGCAGTAATAATCTAATAAATCCAAACGTTATTGTTAAGATCATTAATTACTTTTTTAAAATCAGTTTAATTACAATCAGAAAAGCATTTTGGAAACCAAAAGTAAATCTTTAATATTCTTTTGTAAGAAAAATAATTAGTGCACAATGCAAAAGTTTACAACTTTTATTTTGTAGAACATAGGCGCAAATGCACTATGATTGTTAAATTACTTGAAACACATCTTTCTCTCCAAAAATTATTTTTTTACTATCTTAACACTTTCTAAATATATAATTTAGGCCTTCGGATTTCCCGAATTCTGTTATGTGGCTCCTAGTGACAAAACGCTCGGCTACCTCTTGATAGAAACAATGAAGGTACAATGTCAAATTCCAAACTTAAGGGAAAAAATGGAAGAAAATAAAAATGTGTCTGTCTGGAAGATGTGCATCTAATCAAATAATAAAAGCTTTGAAATGTTTCAAAGAGATTGTGAAGAGATTGAATCAACGAGAAGTTCAACATAATGCTTAAAATGAATTAGGAAAATATACCCACGTAAACGAATACCTTTTAAAATAAAAGAAATTTCTCCCTTTTTAATTAATAATTATGGTATAATTAATAACACTCTGATTTATGTAAAAATGTTGTGTTTCGAAAAGGCATAAGAAGGTAAGTACAAGTACCTTATTACCTTAATAGTTTTGAGAATAAGAAGTGCCAGTCTGAAAAAAAAAATTACACTATTTGCCAATTATTTAAATTTTTATTTATCCGAAGGTTAATAGTAAAGAAGTTTAGGTTTCCTCAGCGCTTGAGTTCACTGACGTCACTTGACTTACAGAAATAGAAAAAAAGAAGGTACAAAGAGAGAGGGTAGTAATAATTGCTTTGGATCGGACGAAGCGAGGTAACACGCTCAACAATTTCTGCACTTAAAGAGCAAACCTTGTAGTACAGTAACCTTAGTTTATCCAAAATGAGTTTAAATCCCAATTGGTTTACATAATTTATTTTTGACAGTATTTTATGAAAGTCTATGACATGATCTTAAAATGTAATGATATAAAATATTAGTACTTATATTGTGTCTAAACGTACAGGTGGAAGATGTAAACATCACGCGATGCAGTGATAATGGTGATGAAGAGTCGGAGCTGGGAGGGAAAATCCTGTGGACTCTGACGGACCTCGACTTGTGCCCAAATGAGATTTGGTTTTATGTTTATATAGTTTTCGGATTACTGAGTGAGTTACATGAATAAACTATTATATTATACTTACTGATGTCGTTGAATAGTAACTAAATCATTTAATGCGCTTCGAAATTGTATAGCAATTTTTTAGCATGGACCTTACACGTTACATCTCTTATCCAATAGTTTTGAGCGCGTAAAGTTAGATTCTTACACCTTAACTGCTCGAAATAGAGTTTTGTTTATTCATAATTAGTTACTTATTTGTAAACTCATTCTAGGTCCCAGGCTGTGTTATGCTTGTTCAGTCTGATCTCATTCTCGAAACCATAGAAAAAAACAACTGCAATCTACCCAGAATAGTGTACTGAGGCAAACTGCAGACTCCTCCTGGTATAATCGTAACAAAGGGATACTCGAAGAACTGAAAATTGTCCAGCTAAGGGATTTATTATTATCAACTAGCTAAATGTTTTCACAAAAGCCAGGAGCGAGTCAATAATTCTGAAATAAAGATCTGTAACTACAATATTGATAATTCAAATGATATCAAAAATGGCAATGATCATTTTAAATATCACAGTAATTGTGTAAAACATGTATATATGTTGTAAGGATTATGTTAATTTTATTAACATTTAAACTTCCTTTCCTATCACTTCTTAATTTCAACCTACCACTTCCGGCCAGAACGTAATTAACATATCTATGCTTATATACAGCAGGCCTTGTATGCCCATGTAATATTTATATTTTTATACGGAAGAAGTGATCCCTTCTGCCAGGATGACTATTTACACTGTAAGATTTTTACAACAAAGTCAGGTCAGTGGTTATGTCAGGCGGCGCTCACTGTGGCGTAGGATTTAAAGTTCAGGGTACCCAGGTGACTTAACACCTATTCAGTGAATCAGTAAATCTGCTCAAATTTCCATATTTATGTGTTTTTATTTATTTGTTTTTGTAAGATTTATGTTATCAAATTTTATTGGCATATTTTTCCTGCTTTTCCTCCTACTACTACTACAACAATTACTACTACTATTACTACTACCACCACCACTACTAATTAATATTACTACTACTGCTGCTTGAAAACGAGGAGGAGAAAATTGAGCTTTTCTTAAAGAGACTGGTTTAGTAAACATAAAACATTAAAAATCCACATGAAGACACACTAATATCAGTAAGTTACAGTATTTCAAAAAATTTATCATTTTCAGTTAGGTTAATTTTGCTTACATAAAATGCGTTTCTTTTGTGCTTACATTTTACATTGTTACCATAAAAGAAATGCTTCTAAATCATATACTGAAAAACTAAGGGGGAAATTACGCGAGGGGGTGAAATATTTGATCAAGTACAGAAATTTATTCCGGTTGGTTTCAAAATAAAGTTTCAGGAAGTAATTGTAACTTCAAGAGTAATGCAGAGTAACTTAATGAAAGACATAATGTTAGAAAAATAAGTCTGACTCGGTTATTTTAACACAGTACATAATTTTCTATTTTTCGTATTTTTGTGAACCACATAAAATGCTTCAAAACAAAAATAAAGAACTAAACAAATTACTTCACACGATCCAATTTTTTTTTAGCCTAGTATACTTGAAGCAAAGATTTAGAATCGTTTTTGACGTTACAACACATTCAGCACTCTTAGCAGCAATTGTAATTCCTGTAAGCTCTGGAAAATAATTTATTCTGATGGAAACTGCAAAATCGATTTTTACGTAGTTATGTTTTTATTAGAAACTAATGAGTATTCATTGCATTTCAGCTTTCTTTCTAATATGTGCTGCCGCCATGATTCTCTACAATCGTTACGAGCTGAATATCAAGGTATGGTTATACGCTCATGGTGTATCCTTTGTCAAGGAGAAAGATATTGATAAGGACAAGCGTTTTGATGCGTTCGTCTCATTTAGCCATAAAGACGAAGCATTTGTTATAAAGAACTTAATATCAGGTAAGAAGCAGATCTCCTTTTTAACTTGCAAAAGAGAATTATTTAAGGAAAAAAAAAAAAAAAAAAAAAAAAAAAAAAAAACAATTAAAGAATTGCAGACAAAAATTTTATTCTTGAATTCAAGAGATTAGTTAAAAGCACAGCATAGTATACGTACTGAAAGTACATTCAAGCTTTTTTTCTTATTAAACCAAAAGGGTGTTGGTATTATTTATCCGGGAATACTCAGTTGGCAGTGTTGACGTTCAAAGATTTTGTTCGAAAATCAAAATGAAGTTCTCCTGCTATACGAAACCGTAAAAGTGAATTTTATCTGAGTTGTAAAAGTTTAAAATAAAAATAATCACAATTAATAATCAGTTATTTAGTGTATTTAAAATTTTTAAGGAATTAAAAAATAATTAAAAAAATTCTTTTTAATAATTTCTAAAAAATTTTAAAATAATTTTTGAAGTAATGAATCAGTTGGATTCGTTAGATTTATCCAATAATCTCCAGTGGTTGACTTGCACAATTCCATACAATGATTTCGAGGCCCTTAGTTTCATTTTTATAAATACAAATTTGATAGGTAATGTAAGAACAGACTTTTTTTGGCAAAATGTAAGAATGCTTACTATGCTATTGTCCCACATAAATAAGTATTTTGCTTCTTATTTCAGCTAAACTGTAATAATTATTCATTTAATCTTCAATTTATATATATTTAACAAATTATTATATGACATACGTCGGCTTCAGTAATTAAATCAACAATGTACACACAAGTTTTTAAGAAAGCTTGCACTTACTCAGTCCCCTGCTGTATTGATTTTGCAAAAACGTGTGTGGAAGGCCTCCTGAAACGAATCAGTAGGTTAAAAAATCATTTGATTTTAAAACTGTAATCTTTAAGAGAAAACTGCGATAAAATCTTTTATTCCTGTTTCAAATATTTGTAGTTGTTATGGAAATTAAGACTTTTAGAAGACTAAAGGTGTGTTCAGAATCAAGAGATAAAGAAACGTCTTGTTTTAAATCTATAAGAGAAACTTCAAATTTAGATTTTTATGTTTTATAAATTTGATTTAATTTATGAAAATAACTACCGTGGAAATTAACACCTTTAATTTTGCTACCTAAAACAGAGATCACCGATGATCTGCTCAAACAGTCTTCCGCATAGCTTTTAGAGAAGTGCCGTCAATCATAAGAAATAACGGAAATAACTTCCTTCGTGGAAAGGAAACAGGAATCAGATGCGTAGTTTAACCGCACCTTTCGATATAAATATGACAATACACGATTACTATGAAAATTGGTTTTCATTCGTTTCAAACCCAGCTGTTAAGCAAATAAGGCTTAGTACATAAGACTGATACTATTTTATTAACCCTCTGGGCGGCCAGGGTTTTCGCTAAGAAAGCACAAATCTCTCAAAACTACTATGAGAACAAATTATTTTTGATTTTAATGTGAAAACTGTACTGGATTCATACGGATTTGTTTTCTTTGATATATTGCCTTAATTCGTTACATATTAATAGCACGTATATATACGTTCTTACAGGTATCACAATAAATATTCCAGGCCGTATATATACGGCCTTGCCGCTTAGAGGGTTAATATATAATATGAACTAAGGAACTTCGAGGACTTCTAACTGTTAATGAATTTTTTACTGCACAATTTCTAAATAATTTTGACAATACGTTTTTATGGTGATAGTAAACAGTAGATAAATGAGAGGAGGGTGATTCCCTTACAACTGCATTTTTTATTGTGCTAACACACAGCAAAATCAACCAAAATATACCAAACAAACAAAGCACGTGCAAATAACACAGTAAGAAATAGTACAGTCATGGATAAATTAGACGAAATCATTAAATATTGCGAAAAATGTTTAGCTTGCGCTTCCCTGTACATCACCAGAACAAAATTCCGAAAGCACTCAACTGACCTTGATAGCTTGTGTGCACGCATCCACTGAGTTTCGCAGTTGATGCAAACCAAAATTTCAAGAAAATAATATTAAATAGGCACAGAATATCTCTAACGAGTTGATATAGTTCGACCGTCTCAAGCGCAACCCTGGTTGGCATCGTACACATAGACTCGTCCAGAAGGAGCGGTATTACCAACGACTTCATATAATCTCGTTGGGTATTACTTGCTGCGACGTGAAAGGTCTTCTCTTCTCTCCGGAAAGAGCTATGCTGGAGGGAAAGAAAGTCCCTATCCTTCCACCCTATTTTGAGAATAATTCGATCCGAATGGCGCATGCGTGTTTGTGCTCATGGTCGCGGATGAGGTGGTCGAACTATACAAATCCTTGTATCGTTCATATTTTCAGTCGGATGTCATCTTTGGCGACATTCCTGTCTTCTCATGTTTATAACTCTCATCAGATTCAAGAAGTCTTTGACTTGTTGTCTATGTATGAATGTCGTCAATTTTAATAAGTCCTTAGCTTTTTATCGACTTTTCTATTCTTTTAATAAAGGAAGCTTTAGATACGTCATCTTTAAATAATATGTATTTAGCGTTATAAAAGTGAATAAAAATAACATACCATGACGATGTGAGTTATCCATTTTTGTTAAATAAATCCTTTCTGCTTTCTTGACCTTTTAAATAAGGGAAAACATACCAATTTATCTCTGCAACAAACTCTAATACAGTGAACAATCTACAAGACGACAAATCTATTCCAGACGATTTTTGTCTTCTGTGAAAAACGTCATCTTAGAAAACTGACGTTTAATATCGATGCCTATCTTCTCAGAAATAATTGCCATATTATGAAATAGAGTATGCATAAATGCACAACAGGTATCAAGGTTAAGAAGATATTATTAGGGAGTAGGGTTATAATAGCTTATTAGAGTGATGCACACCACAAGTGGATTTACTGTATTTGTATGTAGTTTTACCTTTCATATTGTTGTGGATATAGTCGTACACCTAATATTTAATGCTACAACTTTATATTTCATTTGTTAAAGTAAGATGTGAAACATGTGTTGCCTCACCTGCAGGTCTGCAAACTTTTTTGAGACCGTAATTGGATTTGATGAGCTCCACATATGGGTGGAATTAGTTCAGTTCAATCTAGTAGTATTAGATTAATCTTAGTAATTATCTTAGTACCAGTAACTGTTGTTGGTTGTATTTTAATGCTTCAAAAATTTGATGTTATTCAGTTCCTTGTTTTTGTATTTTTTCTTTATGTATTTAAATTAAACCTTTTTTTGGACCAACGGAAATTCGTATTTATTTATACCTTAGTTACTAAATTTATTTGGCTGGAATTTAACTCGAACCCGGCAAATTTATTTCATCCACGATGATTAACCTAAAATAGGAATGGTCTATAAAAGAATTTTTTTTGTTGAGTAACTGTTTAACTTTGTTGCACCTTGAATTAACTAAGAACGTATTTATTTACGCATGCATCATTGAAAAATATTATCGAATTTGAAAGAAAAAGAAGCAATTCATTTCCACTTTGATTTTTTTTTTTCAGTTCTTGAAAACAAAAAACCAAAAATAGAACTTTGCTTGCATTACAAGCATTTCATACCCGGTGAATTTATCGAAGACAACATAGTGAATGCTGTTCAACTATCCAAAAGGACAGTGCTTGTGCTTTCAAAGTAAGCATATCTTATTTTTGTATACATTTTAAGGAGTTATGAAAAAGCTATAAGAACACTTTTTCTCACATTTATTTACGCGTGTATCATAATATATAAACACTGATATACTTACGTGTGTACCACAGCTTAGCACTTTTTGCTCCAATTTATTCTTAAAAATGCTGTTTTAAGCTTGATCAGCCTCAAGATATTTTGAGATGGATAATAAAATTGCATGATTCAGGAACATTCAAGCTATTTTTAAAAATTTAACCTCGAATGCTAGTGTCTGACTTCTTATATCTGTTATAACCAAATGCAAAATATATTTTACTTAACTTGTCATTGTTTCGATTTTTCTTATATTTCAGGATTACTTTCTTTTAAAAATATGTCTAATTTTGATTATTATTTATTTATTTCGCCTTTTTTTTTTCTTCTTACGGAAGGAACTTTTTGGAGAGCGAATGGTGTCTAATGGAATTTCGTGCTGCTCATGTTCAAGCTTTGAAGGACAAGGTGCATAGGATAATTGTCATCAAACTGGGCGAATTACCAGAAGAGATTGACCCTGCTATCAAGTTGTACTTGGATAGCACGACCTATTTAACATGGGGAGAGAAATATTTCTGGGACAATCTTTTTTATGTTCTGCCATGCTCGGGGCAAACTCAACCAAAGCGCAAATCTTTTCCGCTCTTCTTGAACAATGGTTTTCAAACTGATGAAGACTCTGAATTGAAAGAAATTCCCCTAGCATAATTTTACACAAACTAGTTATATGTGTACCTTATGAGTACAAGGTTATCCCGCTTTTACACCGTCCGTTGTTTACATTTATAACTGCAACCCACGAATCAAGCATGTTTCTTTTCGCAAGTCTTCTCCGACGGGTTTACTCTATATTTATATGTAACATAATTCTCAGTTCCTAAAATTGTTATAACTTACAGAATTATGTCAAACTTTGACAGTTTGAGTAAAGTTAGACAGAAAAACGTTTTTCTGAAAATTACTCAGAATGTTTTTGTTTAGTTACAATCAACTCGAAATTAAGCGGCTAATAGCAGAGGGGACATTCACGATTAACTCAAAATAGCGATTAATCCGAAAGTAGTTAAAAAAACACAGAAAAGGGAAGAAACTCACATTATGATTGAGAGAAAAGTTGTATTGACAATTTACCTGCACTTTTAAGCAGTTTAAGCCGGAGAATAAATTCATTTGATCATGCAGATGAAATGAGTATTCAAAGCAAAATGCATAGTAAATAGAAGTAGAATAAATATCATGAAACTAAGCTATATATGATATTAGTATTATTTATGAGGGAACTTAGACAACAGCATTGAGTTCAAACTCATGTGAGAAAGACGGTTAGAACTTTTCGTTTTTTGACAGAGTTCATCTGGTGGGCATAATCAGCTATAATTGCTGCTATCCTACACGTTTTTCTTTTACTTTTTGTATTTTCCGTAGAGAGTTCTGTTTTACGATTGTGATCTGTGATAGTAATTGGTCGGTTATTACATAACAAACAAACCTAACACATTTCAGATGGGCCTCTATTACTTCGCAGCCCGGTTAATCGTAATTTTTTTATCTTAGCTATCTTATGGCTCCAGTTAATGAATTTAAATCTTTTCATTCTGTAAGATTACCTATTTTTATTCTAAAGATAGTGTAACATCGTGTAATAAGTTTTTAGTACCATGAAGGTTTTACTTTGAAGAATTATTTGGTATGAACTCTATAGGTTCTTCTTACAGTCACATTAAAATTCGTTTTTTTTTGTTGTGTAATAAAATAAAAATAATGTAACGGTTTAATTGTTTTTAATCTGAACTTATTCCCTTTCATCTCCTAGCCAGCAATATCAATGCTATAGAGTGCCATCTGTGAAGAAATCTAGAACTAGTCAGAAAAGGAATGAAAAATGAACAGCCAGATTTACTTTGCCAGATTCCAATGCGACCTTTCCATAAAGAGTTACATTTAATTTCATAAATCTCAGTAATTGCGTGCAGAAACTATTAACAATAAATGTTAAAAATTGCATATTGAATACTATTACGATTAAGTGTCGATTTTTCAACATAAATGGAATAAACGGCCTTTACTGGATAAAGGAATTGCAGCAGATGTATACGCCATCGTTTATTATTTAGCTTTGGACTACATTCATGATGATACACAGCGCCTGATTTGTGATTTTATAGGCCAAATTTAAATTCGAAGAAGTGACTGAAGTCGAATTTCTGGGTCTTATCTAAAGCAGAGGTGGGCAAAAGACAGCCAGCGGGCCTGATGCGGGCCCATTACGAAATCTTGCGTTATGATATTTTCATCTCTTTTCTGCCCTGTTTTGTACAGAACGTCGGCCGTCGGTTTGTATGGAAAAAAAGTCGGTAACTGCTCATCTATTGTTACGGTGTATATGCGCATACATAAGCATGACTATACTAGCGGTCCTATATAGCATGTGTATCCGAAGAATATAGTTCTATATTTCTTGCAGCTTTAATTTAGAAATTAAAAGGTATTAATAGAAAGCACAATTATAGCAAATATTATATAAAGCTTTGAACTTAAAAATATGTTTGATTAATCATTTATGCCTTTGTTGTTTCTTTTTATTTAAATTTTGCGAGTACATTTTATATTTTACTGGTTTACCAGCATGCAGTGCCGTCGTAACCTCGTGTTTACCATCTGGCCATTACTGATAGTTAAAATTAAGTGCAGGAAATTTTATTTTAAATTGTACTTTTTTTTTAATTGTTACAAGGAAGGGTTAACAGTAGGGATATCGCGAAAGATTGTCCCAGAAGAAACATCGTACCACCTTGCAATGGCTCTGCCCTCAGTCACAGAAGAACCATCGCACCTTGCAACGGCTCTGTTCCAAGGACGCACTAAAAACCTATTTTAGTGCGTGGTTAATATTTGCTCATCCGTCGTCTAAAGTATATTAGTACTTAATCTGTCGGAACAGTGGTGAACGACTGTACTCACTGTAATGCTCATTTCATATCATCAGTCACATATCATAGCATGACGCGCTATTGACTGTAAGCTTCATTTCAGGCAAATATTTATTTGAAAATTATGCAATCAGCACAGTATTATTATTATTAATATCAAATTGATATTTTGGTGCAATACGATCGTAATTTTTTTTGGATCATAAAATCGTTGTTTTGGATCATCATTTTGATCATAATTTTGCTTCTAAAATGGCTGGAGAAAAGCGTGTCTGTAAATATATTTTTCAGCATTTCTGTGTATACATTTGTTTTTTTTTTGTATCTCATGTGCTGGGTGTTCTTTGTGTTATTTCTTTATAATCAAGTACTTCTGATGGTTATTGAGAAATTGTCTTTGTAATTATACTTTGTTAAACAATTTATTGATATTAGTCATTAAAATGTATTATAATTTCTAATACTATTTGATACTGTTCAATGGGGAATGGGAATAGCATTTTTAATAGAAGCAGTATGACAGAGCTTTTCAATTAAAATATATATTGTCAAAGCATAAGTATTATACCGCTGTACTTATTATTAAGTTCCGCTCAACTGGTATAGTGGTTAGCGTCGCTGACTACCGTGTAGAAAGGCCTGGGTTCGAATCCCGGAGAAGGCATAGATAATTGTATAGCACTCTAAATATGCGGCGAGCCGAAAGTCTTAGAATTGTTAGGGAAAGAGGGGTGGAAGACCCTCGGACCCGTTCCCCCCCTGGGTGCTCTCCATTAAAATTGGGGGCGGTACTGAGATTAATCGCACTGACACCTGTGAGGTTCTCAAGGCTGTTGCCAACGCCAGGCATAAACTTGCGCTCCTTGCCACGAAGAATTTCTTGATTATAGGTCAGACAAGTGAGCATAAACAACAACTGATTATTCAAAACGAAATATGCGTTTCTTATGTGTACTGTTAGAGTAATTAATAGAAGGCGCTCTTAATATGTAACGTATGTAATGTCCATAAATTAAAAGAAATTACCTCCAGCTCTTTCAGCTATATTCTAGCGTACAATTTTACAATAAAAAATACAATTTCCCATATTTTGGACTTCTTTTCTATTTTAGAAGAATCATTCTCATATAAATAAACTTACTCATAAAACAGAATGAAATATATAAAAGAGAGAAGTTATGTACATATTATCAAAATAGGGATTGCTGCACGCATTTATGATAATTAACCATTTTAAATCGATTATGATCAAATTAGCGAGGATCAGAAATGATTTCTCATTATTTAAGAATGGAAAGGATTACATTCCGTTCCTGTAGTAAAATTTTTAAATTGAAGTTTAAATGAATTAGTACTACGTAACCGGTTTTTATTACGCAATTTCGGATCTTCTTGCGTGTCCTTCAACAGCGGCAGTGGTACTACTAAATAATCCAATCCTACTATAAGTAGTTGTAGTGGTGTCCTGCTTTTGTTCCAGCTGCAAGTGAAGCAATGGTTTTTTATTAAAATTTTAAACAATTTTTTCTTCGATTAGTGCAAGTTTAGAATTTGGAATATTTAGAATTGCATTTGGTTGCAGTCAGAAGTTCACGTATAAAGTCGGATATTAACCAAAACTTCAGCTGATAATGCTTTGTAGAATATTTATAAAGCACTTCATTTGTACTGGGGAAGCATAAAATGATACTAGTAATTACTTTTTGTCATACCTTTTTGGTTTTAAAAGCTTTGCTATGAACATTTGAAACACTAACTTCTCTTTTTCAATTAAGCGTTTAACATTAGATTCATTCATCCTAAGAAAATGAAGGGTATCAGTTATTTCTGTTAAGAATGCAGGGTTATTCAAAATTATTGGCCCTATTTTCTATGCTCTGTTTTAAGAATTTTCAAAGATACAATGACAATTAATACATGAAATGTAAGGAAAAATGTCCAATTTTTCCTTGTAATTATTTTATATGACTTAATCTAGTTTGCATGACTACAGGTCTAAATAATAATGAACACAGATAATAATAAAATGGCGTTAATAATCAATTTTCTAACCGCATTTATCTTATTATATCCATTATTTTTCTTCTCCACATATTTAACAGAGCAAATCCTTCAAACTTGTGGGAAATTGCGGTATAAATCCACCATCCTAAATATATGACCGATGGGTTAAAACCATGTTGCTTATTAAGTTTTTTGGAGCAGAAAACACAAAGAATCAACTATCCTGTCAACGGGATTTGAACCACGGATCCTCTGATAACCAGTCAGGCATACAGGTACACAACGGGAACACGCTTGGAAGAAGACATTATTTTCCCGTTTCGTTATATCCATGCAGTTTTATTCTAAAAGTACGTTGTATATAATTGACATTTTCAAAGTATTTGATCGCAGGACCATTTTAGTATTTTTTACTTTTACGAATAATTAAGTAAGTAATAGTGTGCCTTTTTAGTAATTATATAAGGAAAGTATCATGTATTATTGAAATACCACGCATATGCATTATCATGTACTATATTATTATTTGCATTTTCATATGTATTATTTATAAGTAAAAATTCTTTTATTTCATTATCCTTGCTCCGAAACCCTGTGAAAGTGATACCATCAGTAAAGTATTTTTAGTATTTATTAAAAAATATTAACTATATTGCATAAAAGCTTCTTTTGATAATTTAGGATTTAAAATTAAAAAGGATTCTTTTAAGAAATGCTCGTCATTTACACATGCTCATTATCAGAATAATGCTTTTATCTTTTGTGAATTCGAGTACGAGGGATTAAACGTTTTACGTTAAAGGTTTAAATTGATGAAAGAACCTTTTTAGCTCTTTTTGGCGAGTGAAGAAAAAGAATGAATTCTTTCATAAAGGTACGTATCTGTAACGATATAGCAGGAAACAACCAGTGTCTCTGGTGACCTAATTTAAGCATCAAATTGCAGAGCTCTCTGTATCTGGATGATTGGCTGTTTGATTGAGGCTGTTTGATTTGAAAGCACATGAGGGGTACCTTAAGGAGAAATGTATTAACAGCATACTATAAGGAACAAAATTCTTGAAATAATTTTATTAACATGAGTTCAGGAATAAAACAAATGATAAGTTTTTTTAAAGCAAACTCTAAAGTTTTAATTTTATTTGAATTCCTTTTTTGTTGCCACTTGAGCAAAAAAGAAAACCGCAACGCGAAGATTTTGTCATATCAGTATTGCAAATGATGTCGTCACCAAGACCGAAGCACATGAAGATATTTTTACGGAGGACCTTTTTAAGGGAAACACTCGTTTTCATGAACTAGCGTTGAAGTAAAGAACTGATAGATCCACAATAAGGATTTGAGTTCGTTTCTTGGATTCATTTATTATCTGTGTGTAATGTTTTGCATTATTTTAGGTTCGTTATTTAATTTTTCAGTACACAAAATTATTTCAGGGATTAATAATTATAGAAAATTAGATAGGAACCATTTTCCCATTTCTGATAATTTATAATACGAGGGTTGGGGCAGAGGTAATGGCAACTATTTTTTTCTTGTAGATATGTAAATGGATCACAAAACGTATATGTTTCGTGTGGAAGTTCTGCAGGCATAGTGTGTATGCAGAACAACAGATGGCTCTGTGGTAGCGAGGGCTCTGAAATCAGTCAGTTGGTGAGTGCCGTGCGAGATGGAAGTAACTCGTATTGAACAGCGCGCTTACATCAAAATAGCCTTTCTCCGAGGAAGAAATGCGATGGAATGTCACAGTGAATTGGTAGAAGCCCTTGGAAATAATGCCTTACCATATCGTACAGTAGCACGGTGGGTAGGAAAGTTTCAGCAAGGACGTGTGTCAACCCGTGATGACCAACGTTCGGGACGACCGGTGAGTGTACACACCGACTTGGCACGTGCCGTCATCGAGCATCTCATGGATGAAAACAGACGATGGACATTATTTGAGTTAGAGAGGGCAAGTGTCATCGAGAAACACACCGTTCACAGGATATTGCGTAATGAGCTAGCGTCAGAATTCTTCCCCAGTCAAATTGATAGTGATCGTCGTGTATGACATCAGGGCTGTCATTGTTTGCCACTTTGTTCCTCATGGCTGAACAGGGACCGCACAATACTACAGGGACTTCCTGGTGCGACAGGTACGACGTGGCGTTCGGGATAAACGTCCGGATCTTGTGGACAGTGCAATATTCTGACGACAATGAAAGACTAATAATCAATGTGTGTACGGCAGAATTGGAGCACCCACCGTACTCTCCTGACCTTTGCCCTGTGTCTTTGATCTCATCCCAAGATTAGGAACCAATACGTGGTAGGCAAACACGAAGACATTGCTAATGCGTGCGCTAACAGATGACCCGATTCACACATTGTACGGCAAATGCTGAGGTTGAGGTATTCAGCGCTTCCCACATCATTGGCAGCGTGTGGTGGACAGTAGCAGGGGACTACTTGAAGGTCTTTAGGCCAGGTTTGTCATGTCAACGTTTATGTGTATGTGTTATCATTCTTTTGCACGGTGAAGGCTATATGCCCTGTTACTCCTAATAATTGGTGTGTTACGATATTTCAGTGCTATTCATTGTCCACACATGTAGTTAAGACCTTGTCCTTTCGTCTATATATGTCACATTTTCCAACCGGGCTGATATCTTCAAGGGAAAAAAAAAAAAAAAAAAAAAAGTTGCCATGACTTTTGCCCCAACCTACGTATTTAAGGTAAACTATTTTATTTTCCAATGCATATTTGTAGAATCGGTCTGTTACTATTAAATAGGCAATTCAAGGCCGTTTCTCCTCCTATTTGCATAACTTATGGCTCCATCGCCACACAGCATTTATTTTCTCCACGTCATCTGAAGCTTTAGTTTATATTAGCGTTCATTCGCGAGCTTTTTATGAGGCGAAACGTGCTAAACCTAAGTGAAGAGCGGAAAAAAATTAACTGATTCGCCCTTTTGTCTGGCAGCTGGTTATTCCTCAAAGTCCGTATTCCTGTGGTTACTAGTCACATCGGGCGGCGGAAGATGAACTTGGAAGTTCCTGTTTTCAAAGTAGCGGACTATAATATAGGTTCGATTATCAATAGCTTCATTTTTTTGGAAAACTAGATAACAAGAGTTATAATAACCATTCAATAAGAATCAACTTATAGTATTTCTCTTATAAAACCTTTTTCTTTACTTGCGCAACGAAACCTTACGAGAATATCTCCAAGAACGCTCTAAAGTCCAAGAAAAGGACTTAAAGATACCGTCATAATATACAGGACTGGTTATCTTCGCTTTTTGAAAATAAAGGGCATTCAGATGTAATTTTTCACAAAATGATGTAAAACAAAGAAGCGATTAAATTGTTTAATTATTTATTACTCTTTCTTCTTTAATTATTAATTTATATGGGAAAATTTCTGGGACTTCGAAGGCCTCAGAAATAGATTATTAAATAGAAATATTAGTTCATATTTATGAGGCATACGTATTCTAAAATTTGATTTAAAAAATTTCTATGATAAACATTCAGTGCAGATGAACAGGAATGACAAATGCAGTGTAGCCTCAGAAATAAATAATTAAATAGAAGTACTGGTTCGTATTTATGAGGCATATTCTAAAATTTGATTAAAAAAATTTATATGATTAAATACTTAGTACAGATGAACAGGAATGACAAATACAGTGTAGCCTCAGAAATAAATAAACAGAAGTACTGGTTCGTATTTATGAGGCATATTCTAAAATTTGATTAAAAAAATTTATATGATTAAATACTCAGTTCAGATGAACAGGAATGACAAATACATGTAGCCCCCTCAGAAATAATAATAAATAAATAACTGGTTCGTATTTATGAGGCATATTCTAAAATTTGATTAAAAAAATTTATATGATTAAATACTCAGTACAGATGAACAGGAATGACAAATGCAGTGTAGCCTCAGAAATAAATAATTAAATAGAAATCTCTTTGAGGCATATTCTAAAATTTTATCAGTGCAGATGAACAGGATTCACCTTTCAAAATTGAGAAAAACCCTGAGCACAATCAGAAAGGCTTAGTTGGGCTTTTAGCAATGTTATTTCTTTTGTGGGCGATGGAGGTAGAGTTAAGAGAAAGTTCGTTACTTATATTTTTGGAATAAGTAAACGTGGTTTTTCTTCTAGCTGACATCGTATCGAGAGACCAGGTTGTATCTTGCTAATGCGGATATAAAAGGCTTAATATATGACAGAATCCTTGATTGCTTATGCTGAAAAACATTTCGTTTTTTCATTCATTTTCTTAAGCAGTCAAACTTCCCTACACATAACTGAATTAGGTGTCAGTGAATTAGTCTTTCGCAAAAGCTAAGTGATGTAAACTTTATGAATCTGAGATACTTTTATTTCTCCATTTTTGAACAAATGCATGCAGCAAATTTTATCGAGAAATTACTGCGATGCTTGCTGTTGATCGAAGGGAGGAGTCTGGTTGGTAGTGGTGCCATCTAGTGAGAAGTGAATTCAACGAAGTAAATGAATATGGTGAGGATATGTAAAGTGTAAAAAATTTAATAAAATAGTTTAAACTAGAAATAAACGCACAAATGCAACACCAAATTTCTACTTTTTTTATTTGTATTCAGAAGATATTAAAAAAATTTTATTTTTCATTGACATTAATTTTTAACAACAGTAAGTAAAAATGGTACATATTATTATGCGCAATAGTTCCGGTGAAGGTCAGGATAATACAAGATTCAATTTAAAAATTTTAAAAAGTGGCTGTCTGAAAAATTTTAAAAATAGTTGTCAAGAGTAAAAAGTTATTTCATTTTGGTTAGTTCGATGAAAGTTTAGTAAAAAAATATTGCAATTATGTATATATATATCTTTTCTCTTTTGAAGGAAGACTTAGAGGCAGATTGTTTCACTGCAATGTATAAACATTGTGTATATTATATCGCTTCATTGACAAACATATCTACTAGTTCAGTAACTTTGATTTAACAAAATTCTGAAGTTTGTTGGAGCAATTTAAAACTACATATTTCGATCAAATATTAATGTGAATGGTTGAAAGAAACTATATTGTACATAAAACTTTCTAGACATTTGAAATCAATATCTGCATTTCTTTTCCAGCTAAAATTTTAAGCCTCATTTCCACTTACAATGCATTCGTTTTCTTAAGATTAAAACTGCTTGATATCGCTGCTTGATGACTCTGAATCAGTTTATTGACGAATATTCAGTTTCTGTCATTATGAGTGGAAAGAGTTAGTTTAATAAATTTTTAAAACAAAGAAAGTTGCATTAGCATTACGATTTCTTTAAATGAAAATATCCTATGGTTTAACAATTATATCCTGACCTTTTCACATAAAATTCATATTTGTGTTATGAATCTATGATTTTAAAGGCATAAATAAATAAAGTTATTGCATCTTTATAACTGTTTCTTGTAATTTACTGTTATTACGAGTCCATTATTTAAGTTTTTAATTAATAAATAGTATTAGGTTCTGCAAACACTTTTCTTACAATTAATTCTTTATAATAAAAATTCCTATGCAGAACTTTTTGTAATATTTTAAAATATTGGCATTTTTTATTGTAGTGATATGTATACATCGATCAAGTCTTTATAAAAATATGTTTTAATCGACAGGCATTTAATGTAGCTGTTAAATCTTTCTCCTTATTTATTTCTTCATTGCATTCCATAAAATAATTTCCAGATGCATAATATTCATAAAATTCTCTGATAATTAATATTTTCTGGTCCATGCATTATATATTCTATGGAATTTTTATTTATTCTGTTTACTATAACAATTACAGTTACATCTAATTTCTATGATATTTATGCTTGTTCTTCTATATATACTGCATACTTCTATGTGGTATATAAATTTCCATGCGCATGTTTTTTTTTCCCCGCACGTTTAAGTTCTATAATAAATCTGGCTATTCTTCTTTCCGTGGTATTTTTCTATCTGTTCTGTAATCATTTCACTTCTCTAGATATATTTTGTTTATTCAACATTCCTTTATAATTCATTTTCGATTTCTATGTTATGTATTCCGTACGTCTAATGTCTATAACAGTTAGGTTTGCATTTTTTATTCTATCACGTTTATCTTCTCTATTCTATGTCATTTCCATACACATATTAATTATAATGCTGTACAACTAATTTCTAAAATATTTGGAACGTATATATCATATTATCTTTCATAAACATATGTTTTAATACAAAAATCTAATTTCTTTAACACTTCAGTGTGTTCTTCGTTCCATAATTTTCTTTTATTTCTCTGTTCTGTGTGATCTTCCGCATACGCATCTTCCATTCCCTGAATCTATTTTCTTTATTATTTATATTATGCTTTTATTCTCTGATATTCTCCGTATTTCATATCATCTTCCGTATACGTATCTTCTATTCTACACATCTAATTTCTTTAATATTTTAATATATTCTCTGTTCTCCACTTTAATTATATTTCTTTTGTTTGTATCATCTTCCGTACACATATCATCAACATCATACTGCTAATTTTTAAATTACATGCGTTTGTTTCTTTTGCTCTCTACTGTTATACATAGCTCTATACTCTATATCGTCCTCTAATCACCTATTTTCTATGTTACTATTTTATATATCAACTTTCTATTAAAATTTCACTTCTCATATTTCTCTAGTTCATATTGTTTCCGGTATTTGTTCTGAAACTAAATTATATATTTAATCGTATTTCCTTTTGTCCTTTAACAATACTCATATTTCCATACTTCTATGTATTACCGTTCTATACATTGCGCATTTATGCAACGTTTTCAGTATGTTTATTTTCTGTATTTATTTTCTATATTTCATTATATTTTTACGTTTATCTTTATATCACCTTCCAATTTTTCCAACATATATTGCTTTATTTCTGTCATATATATGTTTTAAATCTTTCAATGAGTTCTTGCCTTCCTCAAAAATATATCAGGCGATCTTAATTTCGCCAAAAAGGTATATAAATATTTCAAGTTAATAATATAATATTTTTTCGGGCAAATGTCAAAGTTAAATTAGCTGTATGTTTACCAATAATCTTATTTTGTCGTAATTAAAAAAAAAAAAAATCATGGTATGTAATTTGAGGTGAGATTAAAATAATCTTAATTTCATTTCCATTATTGTATCAAGAGCAGAGAATTATATTTTAAAGTCTATAATGGGATTTTTTACTGAACGAATAATTCGAGAGTTTTGTTAAAGTATTCGTTTTTTCTTTCTATGTTATTGCTCTTAAATCTGTAGCAACAGAGCTGTTCCAGCAATAACCCACTTGTCTGGTGGATCGTTGGTTTTTAGTGGGAATTCCCAAACAAAGGTCGAACCTCTCTGCCGTGTCCTATATACGGGGCAATTATAGGCATTTCGAACATCTACTTTGTCCGACAGCACAGACTTCAGGCAAATGACCGGCATTGGTGGATGCAAGTCTTTTAGAATAGGATCCACAATGCAGCCGCTGGCAAAGTCCCATCGTCCGCCCTGAAAGTACAAGATTTTACAAAATTATTATTTACGAAAGATAAGATAAATCGGGCGGTTCTTCGACATAGCTATGTTTCCTGTAGACTGAAAAATTATATTCCTCTAGACTAGAAGAGAAACACGCTAATGTGACAATCAAAATCGTAAAAAACAACCTTATATTTAGCGTAGGTATAATGAAACACTCAATCGATTTCGAGGGAAGCTAAAGGTCCCCCCTCATCAGGAGAAAGAAATACATTGAAAGAAGAAAATAGGAATCACAGAAACACGTGGTGCTTATCAGCACTGCACGTGGTTATAACTAGATTTTTAATCAGAGTTGCACTGGCCGCCTACTTTTACTGAGCCAGGCTGTCTGATCAAGCATAAAGAAATATTAGCGAAGTTAAAATAGGGAGCGAGGGGCACATTACGCTCAAAATCTGAACTTCAAATAATGGAAAGCAACCACTGAACGGATTTTTATACCCTCTGGTAGTACCAAGTGCGAGGAGGTAAACGCCATCTATCGGCAAAATAATTGAATTAAGACAGTAGAATTTTAAAGGCATTAGGAAGGACTGGATTGGACTTCAAATCATTAACTAAACTTTCTAAATCTTTGTGATGTGAAAAGCCTCAAGAAAATCCAATTCGCCTATGGAAGAAGCCTTTTGGGATGATTTGCAGACCCAAATCAAAATTATGGTTTAAAATTCAGCTATGATACCCTATTGAAGACTGTTAATTTCCCCTTTTTTTGACATAAGATTCATGTTCCTTGATACGAAACTTCAACGCTCTTTTTGTTTGGCCAATATATCTTAAAACCACAACTGACATGATTATACTATAAATTCCCCAAGAATTCAAGACAGAAACGCAATCTTTTAGAATCGAAGGGTGAATTTTATTAATAGGGAGAAACCGACTTGAAAATTGAATTTCTGGAGAATCCGTGCAATTTTATAGCTACAGAAGATAAAATGGAAGCACGACAAGGTCATTTGATATTATTTCTAACAGTGGAATGTCTTCTTTGATGGGAATCTGAAAATTTTTTGACGGCTTTATCAATATCACGGAAAATCCACGGTCAATCGCAACTGCTCTCAATAATTAAGTTCATTGGTAAAGCAAAGATTCAGAGGAACAAACTTTAGGCGCGGAAAACATAATAGTAAAAAAGAAGCCATTTTTTGCTTAACAGGGTGGCATGACTTGGCTGGGTGTAACAACTGCAAAGGGTTACGGTACACAGTGGTGCTAAAATCGGTTTCATTGCGGATTATAAGAGATCGAGAAGGGGGGGAATTGTTGGATTCAATTTCAAGAGGAATTGGATGGCTGGATCAATTGAATTCATATAGAGAATCTCGATCAATCCTCTTTATAACCGTCAAAACGTGCGAAAGGTCGTCAACATACAGAATCCAAAGACGAAAGATAATTTATCAAATAATTTCATCTCAAATAGTGCATATAAATGTCAGCAAGTACCGGACTGAGAGGATTACCCATAGCCAATCCTTCAACTGACGAAATATGCATTTTGGAAACAAAGTGGGTTTGACTTAGAGAAACTTTGTAAGCGAAACCAACTCATTAATTTCAGTAGTGTGAAGTGAAATTTCCCGAGCCTAGTTTCAAAAATTTTGGTCTTCGACCGAACATTAGTAACAATGATTTGACATCAAATGAAACCACAGGAACGAAGTGGGGAAATATTTTTAAGTTTATCAATGACTTCAACAGAATTTTTACAGTGTGAATATTGTTACAGTAGAGAGGAAAAACGGAAACTAAATATTTGGCCAAAGGATAGACATTACCTATGTTGGAAACAATGGCGAAAGGAATACCGTTTTGTGGACTTTTGAAGAGCATAAGTCTAGCGCAATTAGTAATAGGCGGAATAAGTGATTTCTCAACTGAGGGCAGAATGTGGGAAGATTTATAGCACTTTTTACTTTCATGAGGTTCGAAGTTGAAGGATCTTAGAAATCGAGCAGTATGGGCCTTCATTTATCAATTTAGAGACTCCGTAATATATGTGTTTTGTCCCTAACAACGACTGACCGCCCTTATCAGCTTAAGAGATAATGTTAGTATCAGAATGAATTTTCACGTAAGATCTCATTTTCCTTTTTGCTAAATTAGAACCCAAAGATTTATTGTTAAAATTAACGTTATGAGTAATTAGGTGCGGATTTATCTTCTGCGTTTCCGAAATTTTGGAGAGATTTAAAGGTTTCTCTATAGGGGCGATGATTTGAGGAATTGAAAGGTTTAGATGTCTTTGATAAGTTGAAATTATATTTTAATACTTTTAACTGATCCTCCGAAAATTCCTATTGGAGATATTAACGATGGAGTTAATGTTTACGAGTGGGAAGCTCAGCTAGATAATTGGGCTATCCGACTGGTGTGAGTTTTTGGAATTTAGAATGAGACACATTTTTATGCCGTTGACAAACGGTATCAGTTCTAGACAGGATGTATGTTCAATGAGGAAAAATTTTCAGTGGAATTAGCAATTTTTTAAATGGAGTATTAATTCCAATTCATTTAGATAACGTTGCGTGTTCCCTTTATGTGATAGATGCCAATTTGATTTATGCAAATTTTTGAAACGTGACGAAGCTTTAAGCTACATTTCACATGTATAATTTGGGAAGAATTTGATGTTGCATTTAAGTAGGACGTGATGATTCAAGAATTTCGTACGCTTAAGGCGTAACTACAAAATCGTTCCTGTCAGGGGACATATTGTGAAAAAGGCACAAGCAGAACAAGTGAACAAAAGAAATGTTAATTCCGAAAGTCCAACAGTAATTACTTATAACATGAAAAAAACACCAATAAATAATGAAGACAATTTTCATCAACAAATGACAAAAACATTCCAAAAGGAGAGAAACATCCAATACTGAAAACCAATAGCCACGTGGAAAGAAGCAACGAAAGTCAAAATCGTGCACGTGGTAAACCGAAAAAATATAGAATTACCTCGAAAATGCCGGTTGATAGCATAAACCAAATCCGAAAAAATGATGACCACGTTTTTTTCATGTTATAAGTAATTACTTGTTTGGACTTTCGGAATTACATTTCTTTTGTTCACTTGTTTCTTGCTTGTGCCTTTTCACAATATGTCCCTGACAGGAACCGATTTTTGTAAGTTACGCCTTAAGCGTACGAAATTCTTGAATCATCTACAGTTTCTACTTAAATGCAAACATCAAAATTTCATTCCCAAATTTATACATGTGAAATGTAGCTTTAAAGCTTCCGTTCACGTTTCAAAAATTTTGCATAAATTTAAATTGGCACTTCTTCGTCACATTATAAGGGACACACGCAAAACGTTTATCTAAAATTGAATTTGAATTATATTACCTCCATTAAAAATTGCTAATTCCACTGAAAATTTTTCCTCATTTGAACATACATCCTGGTCTAGAACTGATACCGTTGTCAACGGCATAAAAAATGTGCTCATTTCTCAAATTCCAAAAACTCACACACCCAGTCGGATAGTCCCAATTATCTAGCTGATCTTCCCACTGTAAACGTTAACTCCATCGTTAATATCTCCAATAGGAATCTTTCGGAGGATCAGTTAAAAGTATTAAATATAAAATTTAATTTCAACTTTTCAAAGACATCTAAACCTTCAATTCCTCAAATCATCGCCCCTATAGAGAAAGCCTTTAAATTCTCCAAAATTTCGGAAACGCAGAAGGATACAATCCGCCACCTAATTACTCATAACGTTAATTTTAACAATAAATCTTTGGGTTCTAATCTTAGCAAAAGGAAAATGAGATCTTACGTGAAATCATTCTGATACTAATATCATTATCTCTAAAGCTGATAAGGGCGGTCCAGATCGTTGTTATGGACAAACACACTATATTACTGGAGTCTCTAAATTGATAAAATGAAGGCCCATACTGCTCGATTTCTAAAGATCCTTCAACTTCGGACCTCATGAAAGTAAAAGTGCTATTAAATCTTCCCACATTCTGCCAACTCAGTTGAAGAAATCACTTATTCCGCCTATTACTAATTGCGCCTAGACTTTATGCTCTTCCCAAAAGTCCACAAAACCGGTATTCCTTTTTCGACCAATTGTTTCCAACATAGGTACTGCTTCATATCCTTTGGCCAAATATTTAGTTTCCAGATTTTCTCCTCTACTTGATAACAATATTCACACTGTAAAAAATTCTGTTGAAGTCATTGATAAACTTAAAATATTTCCCACTTCGTTCCATTGTGGTTTCATTTGATGTCAAATCATTGTTTACTAATGTTCCGGTCGAAGGAGCACTAAATTGTCTTGAAACTAGGCTTCGGGAATTTCACTTCCACACATACTGAAATTACTGAGTTGGTTTCGCTTACTAAAGTTTCTCTAAGTCAAACCCACTTTGTTTTCCAAAATGCAATTTTTCGTCAAGTTGAAGGATTGGCTATGGGTAATCCTCTCAGTCCGGTACTTGCTGACATTTATATGCACTATTTTTGAGATGAAATTATTTGATAAATTATCTTTTCGTCTTTGGATTCTGTATGTTGACGACACTTTGCACTTTTTGACGGTTATAAAGAGGATTTATCCGAGATTCTATCTATTATGAATTCAATTGATCCAGCCATCCAATTCACTCTTGAAATTGAATCCAACATTCCCTCCCCTTCCTCGATATCTTATAATCCGCAATGAAAACCGATTTTAGCACCACTGTGTACCGTAAACCCTTTGCAGTTTGTTTACCACCCCATGCCAAGTCATGCCACCCTGTTAAGCAAAAAATGGCTTCTTTTTACTATTATGTTTTTCCGCGCGCTAAAAGTTTGTTCCTCTGAATCTTTGCTTACCAATGAACTTAATTATTTGAGAGCAGTTGCGATTGACCGTGGATTTTCTCCCGTGATTATTGATAAAGCCGTCAAAAAAATTTTCAGATTCCCATCAAAGAAGACATTCCACTGTTAGAAATAATATCAATGACCTTGTCGTGCTTCCATTTATCCTTCTGTTTAGCTATAAAATTGCACGGATTCTCCAGAAATTCAATTTCAAGTCGGTTTCTCCCCTATTAATAAAATTCACCTTCGATTCTAAAAGATTGCGTTTCTGTCTTGAATCTTGGGGGAATTTATAGTATATCATGTCAGTGTGGTTTAAGATATATGGCCAAACAAAAAGCGTTGAAGTTTTCGTATCAAGGAACATGAATCTTATGTCAAAAAAGGGGAAATTAACAAGTTTCAATAGCGTATCATTGCTGGACTTTTAACCATAATTTGATTTTGGGTCTGCAAAAATCATCCAAAAGGTTCTTCCATAGGCGAATTGGATTTCTTGAGGCTTTTCACATTCACAAAGATTTAGAAAGTTTAGTTAATGATTTGAAGTCCAATCCAGTCCTTCCTAATGCCTTTAAAATTCTACTGTCTTAATTCAATTATTTTTGCCGATAGATGGCGTTACCTCCTCGCACTTGGTACTACCAGAGGGTATATAAAAAATCCGTTCAGTGGTTGCTTTCCATTATTTGAAGTTCAGATTTTGAGCGTAATGTGCCCCTCGCTCCCTATTTTAACTTCGCTAATATTTCTTTATGCTTGATCAGACAGCCTGGCTCAGTAAAAGTAGGCGGCCAGTGCAACTCTGATTAAAAATCTAGTTATAACCACGTGCAGTGCTGATAAGCACCACGTGTTTCTGTGATTCCTATTTTCTTCTTTCTATGTATTTCTTTCTTCTGATGAGGAGGGACCTTTAGCTGCCCTCGAAATCGATTGAGTGTTTCATTATACCTACGCTAAATATAAGGTTGTTTTTTACGATTTTGATTATATTCCTCTACTTTAAAATTATTTAAAGGATATTATGCTTCCACTGATGAAGTTTATAATGATGAGTTAAATGATGATTCTGTTCTGCATCATTTTAAATGAAACGGTATATATAAAAAAGTGCATTGCAACTGCAATAATTTAAATATGTAAGCTGGTGCGATCTGTTAGTGAATACCATCTGAAATTTTGCGCTTGCGTGAGAATGAGTGCGCACGTAGGCTATCGGCATTCTTTGTTAAAATTTTGATACTACTTGTGTGTATTGCTTATCTGTACGCTCCGTAATCTGAGATCAAAATGTTTAAGAAAATTGAGAAACCCTCCCATTGTAAAATATGTTAGCCATGTAGTTCTTAACACCGAGAAACATTAAAGCCACGGATTATTCATCGCCAAGTATGTGAAGTGACAATGCCATGAGTGACCGAAAAGTGCACGAACGGGCTGACTCTTCAAAAAAGGTCGAAACACTGATGAAAACTGAAAACTAACCACGAAATAACTATAACCACAGGCGGCAGAGCAATATTCGTTTTTCTTTATTAAGATGCTTGTTTAAATTGAAACAATAATTATGTAGAGAGATAGAGAATAGTATGTAATGTCAGAAAATAAATGTTTTTTGAAATATATATATATTACGAAACGGACCTTGCGTATAAAATAGCTTTTATAGTTGTATGAAATACTCGAACCAATGCATACGAAATCTCGCAGACGTTAAAACAATCCGTACTTCCTTATGATAGCGGTCTCCAAGATTGAATCTCTAATCAACTGAGATATCTCACCTGGCTCGTGAAACGTGAAAATGAAAATAATCGACGCAATATACAATAATGACACTAATACTCACATATTGTTTCCTAAGAATATTTTTAATAATCGTTATGACAAAGCCAAAATTTCGAAACTGTTTTAAAATATTCACCAAAAAATATCGTTTTTTCCTATATACTTTCCCCACATAAATTCCGAAAGATATGATCCGAAGTGATGTCGATCTCTGCCCCGTTGTATTTTAATATGTCCACTTTGCTAAACCTCACATTTTGGGTGTGAACACCTGTTATTGGAGTTACGAAATTGTACTTATGGTTCACAGTAAAGTGACTTTAAACATCATCTTCAAGTTACTCCGTTTTATATCTCTTCCAGTAGTCTAAATAGATCGTTACCCTCTTGCACGTGTTGAATAATTTTCCCCATAAATGTGCTACCATCTCTATTCGAGATTTGAAAGACAAAGCACTCGCCATCTTCCCGGCATATACCTCGAAAAGTCAACTGTTGGAGAACTCTGCCGCTATAATGTTCATATATCGGGCGAACAAACTTTCATCGATTTCAACTATTTTATTAAGACCGCATATTCGTCCATTGAATCTGCATCAAGTATAGGGAATACATTTTCCGCATGTAATTGTTTAATCAACTGCAGCATTTTCCCACACAATTAAGTCGTTTGTCACACTGTGTGGTGGATGTCAACTCCTCTGCCCAAGAATGCATAAATCTAACAACAGTGACGAATGATATTCTTGGACCACTGAACTAATTTTCAATACGAAGGCTCTTCACAGTTTTTAACATTTCACCTGTCGTGGTTAATATATAGTTTCATGTGTTGACAATTTTCGCTTACTCGGTTGTTAGGTAAAATACCTCCTTTTTGAAAAACTGATATGGCATTCACCTTTTTATTTGGTAAATTAAAGATTTTTAATTGCATATTCACAAAAAGCAAGAATTTTTTTTAAAGAAATTAATGCGAATTCGAAACTCTTAACAAAAATGAAACACGATGACAATATAAGAACAAGAGGCGAGAGCAAAAATGTAACATATCTCGGTGATTAGCGAGTCAATCTTAGGGGCTGTTATAATAAGGAAATACCAAAAATATCTGTCAAAAGGTATGTATACATTCAACAAAGTTTAGGTTTTTTTTCTCAAAGGTGGATTTTGGAAGAAATAGATATAATTCGACAGTCACATATATTAATATCGGCTTTAGAATGAAATTAGTTTACAGCACAATAAATAAAATATGTATAATATGTTCAGTATTTTATATTTTTCGAAGTAAAATTAAATAAACTGACCGAGGATCTGTCAGAACTGGGATTCCGATCCTCTAACAACACTGCGCGGAATGCATCTAACTTTTGCTTGAACAAGCTTCATTTATTACCGTCATTTAACTACTGAAGGAATTGCTTAATATCTGAAATTTCCTGCTTTTGGTAATAAAACTCTTTCAGTACTCCAGCTTTTGGTAATAATACTCTTTCAAGGTTGATGCTCACCTCCATGTAGAGCCCACAAATGTTAGCTCCTTCTCTGGGTGTGGTCAGGAACTCATCTGGACTCTTCTTGGTTACTTCGCAATGGATGGACAACTTGTCTAGCGGAAGGTCATGCTTCCTACCCGATGTCTGGATAACAGCAGTGAGAAAGGACTGGGGGCTGAACAAACCACCAAGCCACGTGGTAGGAGGTAAAACGAAATCTGTAACCACCCATCGGTCTATAGCTGCAGAACAAAGAAAAAGCTTATTAGAATGACTCATTTATAGTAATAAAAGTTTGGTCAACCCATCATATACATACTTTTATCATTACTTCCTCAGTAGCGTATATTTTATCTGGGATCATTATATTCGCATTCTTTCAGATCCTATGATTTTATATATATATACACACACACAGAAGTGCTAAGAAACTGGCACAGCAGTATAATACTTAGTACGTTCTTTATTCGAATGAGTAATTTCACGATAGAGAGTAACTGAATGACTATACCAAATTGCCTGTTTCTTTCTGTATTCGCAGATGCAAGATTTCGTTAATCAACGGCATCCATTTTCATCATATGATACCAAATGCTATCATGATCCTAATAATCTCACCATACAATACACAATTTTTAATAATACAATTTTCGACATTGTAAATAGTTTAGTGAATACTAGGTAATAAAACCCATATTACTATAAATTATCGACAGCCAGTATAGTTTCCTGTTGGCTTTCGGATTCATGGTTTCGCGGGGCTTTTTCCACACAGAATACTTCCTTCCTTTCTCCACAAAAAAACTATGAATTAAGTATAGAATTATTTATTAATTTCAAAACACTAAAGATATCTGCTCAAGAATAGGAATGCTTTTATGGAGTAATTTTTAGGGAAATTGGTCTGTATTTACTTTAAGCACGGTAAAAGCTACAAAATTCGATGTGATCAGCTTTTTAAACCGCCGGTCATCTGCGCAGATTAAAGTGATTCCTATGAGGACTTATTAAAGAAGCTATTTTGCATTTAAATAAGGAATCACATGAACAAACAAGAATGTAATAGTGTATAGTAAACCGTTTTCCGCAATGAAACTCTCAACCACGATTCCTTTATCATTCAAAGACTTATAATGGAGGATCTTGTTTTACAATTACGGAAACAATAACTAAAAAAAAAAAAGAAGAAAATAAATCACTGACCTCTTCGTCTTTGTAAGAGATCCGAAAACCATGAACCGAGAGGTAGCAAGGATGGATATGCCTTCATAGCCCATGATCGAGGTACTACATCAGCGGCTAAAGCGTCACCAAGGTCTTCCATCTCTTCACTCCATGGCATTTCTCCCTAAAATATACTCCTAAATTTTAAAATTCTAAACATTTTAGATATGTTGATGTCCATTTAAAGTAAGCAAATTGCATAATCTGGAAGGATGAAATGATTAAAATTTCAAGTAAATTTGAAGAATAGCGCATGAAGAAATCAATTAATAAACATCTGTCTCTGGCATAAACAGCAATTATTCAACGACAAGGCATGGAGTCGAAGAAACTTTGAAGGTGTTTTGGAATACTGCAGTCTATGCGGCGTCAGAGGTATGCCAAGGTCCATTATTCGCATTATCAGCGGGTATAGTTTACCAGTCTCCTGTACTATCAATAACTGAACAATTTCTATAGTGAGGGGCCTGGAGAACGCGCTGGCCAACATAAAATTCGACTACAGTAACTCGGTGTCCTGCATTTTCCTTCTGAAAGATGGGGCGACAGATGCCACAAAACCATGGTTATTGAAACCTGGCCAATGTAACGATGGCTGGTCAAAGCACTGGAACTAGTTATAAATGTGATATAGAAACAGTGGCACTCCATACCATCAATTGATGCATCAAACCATTATTAGGTATTCGAAGCAAAGCCTATTAGTGAATAATTTATGTTAGTAATAAGAAAGGTTTCATATTAAAATACTGAAACACATCTAGCCACCTTTATTTCAAAAGATTATTTTTTCAGTAAAGTTTAACTTTACTGAAAAACTATTTAAAGTGTAGTTTAGTAATAAAGTTTCTGTAATTTTTCTATTTATCAATATCCAGTTCTAACAGTTCTAACAGTAGAGAAACAAGAGGTTCTTCAACTGAAATCTTTGTTTCAGAAAAGATTGAAGAAATAATAAAGTAAGAACAGTTTATCATATAATGCTTACTTTTAATCCCCGCTCAATATCTCTGAGGGAGATTCTAATTTCTTGTAACAAGGCATTCATTCTCTCACATTCTTGTAAAGCGACAGCAGTGAAAGGTACCACACCAGCCTCTTCCGATACCTTGCCATACAGTTCTGTCATTGGGAACTCATCTGGAAGTTTTTCGACTATATCCTCAGAAATCTGGCGGATCTGAATCAAAAATAAATTTACGATTCTTAGGAAAACCAAAATTAGCATCACACGATTTGTTACGAACCTTTCACATTTTAATGACACATTGATATGCGCAGATTAAGACTGCGAGAGTGTTAGTCTATCCTAAAACAGAATGCGTTCTTTTACCGATTCAAGAAAGGTAAACGAATTTTATCTCTTCTAAGTTTAAAATATTAGCCGTTTGTGCAGCTAGCCGCCTAAAGTAGCTGTTACAAAAAACAAAATATATGGAATGATTTTAAAGAGGCTAGTTAGCGCAATTTCATGTAATCCAGTTAATATAATTTTATAAAATTACTTAATTATTTCAATAATAAACCAAAAGTACTACTTTTAGGAAGGCGCTGATTTAATCAATCATTCCAGTTCAAACATTGTAGACTTTATTTGCAATGGAAGATGTATAATGAACTGCAGTTAATTCTAAAGCACATTATATAATTTCTTTAATAAGACATCTACTTTAATTCACGCTTCTGAACTCATGGAATGAAGGAAAATATTTTAAAGCATTTTATGTTTCAGAGCATAAATCCATCTTATTATTTATCCATCTTATGTATTAAGTTAAATACAGAATATAAAATGTGAATTATTTCTTTCTTTCACACAGAGTTATATCTATATTATTATTCATACGTTATTCTGCTTGTCAGTATATATAGAAGTACCATATTAGCTCAAATATCATTTGTTTCATATTATTTTATTGAATCTTGCTTTTACTTATATTGAAGAAATTGGTTATATGAAATGCAACAGTCGTTCTGTAGAAATTATCGTTATATTATTTACATTGCAAAATTCATGTGCAACGAAACTGGGAGAAACTTTCTCAAAGAAACACGAAATAAATTCAGAAAAGGAGCTTTAAGCGATGTAAAATGTAAAAACATTGTAAAGTTATTGGGAATTTTTTGAAGTAGGAATAAGTAAAAAAGAGCAATGCCGTCGCCGAGACTCGAACCTAAACCTCTCGAATACGCTTCGAGTGTGCTACCGTTACACTACGAAGGCATGCAGAAAAGAGGGAAAATACCTTCTAGCATTAAAAAATAAAATATAAAGGATTCTGTATCAATCACATACTATATGGTGTTAGAAAAGTCTTTCCTAAATCGTAACAATAAGGGTGCATAAAATTATTACGTAGATATCTCGAGGATTAAAAGCTTTTCCCTTCGAAACGATCAGATTTAAAAGTAACAAAAGTATTATTAAGCAATGGATTTATTGCATTAAATCGCTTTGTTTGTTAATCTGCAACAGATAGAATGAATTTGAAAGTTAAATATCTTAGGGTTTGTCCAGTGCACATCGGCACATGGAAGAGAAGCAAACATATTTTATTTTCGAACACATTGCTTTTAAATAGCTCAGTTTTTTTTTTATTAAATTTGAAAAACAAATATCTTGCACTTTCTCAAAGGGCAGTTCACTGGTGCACAATATGAAAGTCCTTTATCTCGAGCAGTAGCAACACATTGCTTTTAAACAGCTACAAAATTCATCAAATTCACCCCCCCAAAACATGAAATAAATAAAATGTACACTCAGAATTAGGGCTCTGAGGTACACATGCTCGGATTGAGGATTATGTGTGCTCAAAAGGTGAAGGTTGTTGGTGGCGCCATTTTATACACAATGCGAGGAACTTGCATACATGCAGATTCTTCATTGTACAATAATACAGATGAATTAAAACGCTTTTATAGTGATAAAAGTACCGTCTGTTATTTTTTTTGTTCTGCTATTCGACATACTGAAAAGCTCATAAAAGTGCTTCCAACAAATAGAGATTGCAAATAATTATAATAATCTTCTCAAGAGTTAAATCGTATTTAGTTATCTCATTATTTTAACATTTTACACGATTAAAACTATGAAATATTCCATGATGTTAAAACTGCAAATTTTGATTACATAGTAGACAATATACAGATTAAATAATAAAGATTTGTCCTTTCTTTCCTCAGAATAGTGACAATGGAGTTTAAGACTGGACAGGCACATTTTCTTAATGTTAAAATAGTTTTACTTTCCGCTTTATAATTTAACGAATTATGCCTTCCTGAAGAATATCTCTTCATAATTGTACGATCTTTTGAGACTGTTCTAAGACATTTCTAGCATTAGGAATGCAGACTTTCAAATCGCATGCCATAGCGCCTGTCATTCGTATTCTACAGCAGACTAAGCGATTTAGACTGGTTCAACTAATTTGGGAAAAATAATCTTCGTAAATGTTTTTGATAAATAGCTATATGAGGTCCAGGGTCATCAGAAAGATAAGCATCATTTTCGATTGTCAACATAAAGATTCATAATACATTGCAAGCTAATAGAGAGCAAGATTCACAATACAATGCACATATTGCAAGCTATCACTGTTTTGGAAACAACAAACGATTTCTTTCAATATCCGTGATTCTCGAATCGTTGTTTCTAGTCTTAAGGCAGGACAAATCTCCGAAATCACAGCTGGATGGATTTCTTGACCACCTGTTCAGCAAATCCACTGTAACTGATCATTCTGGCTTTGACAAAATTAGGATTCATCAATGAATAATTCTGATTGCTCTTCACTTCTCCCTGTCTTCTACACTAGTCAAGCTGGTTGGTTTATGGTGTTCATAACTAATAGTATGAAATGGCAGTTGAGTTTTAAGTAATCCATTGTAAGTTATTCATAATAATACTGGAATTCTCACATAAACAAATTCTTAATCTAATGTAAGCTCTACAAAACTATCGGATAGCTAGCGATGCTCGGCGGTACATGTTGAAAAGTCATACTTATAGCTCGTTCTCCAACTTTTAGTTGTAGCATTCTCACTAATATGCATGAATGTTGTTGTTGGGATTTATCGCATTTGTCTGGCAATAACATGAGATCAAATCTACGAATTTTATCGCTGAAGAGGAAGCATTTTGGGTTTAGGTATCTTATAGACGACAGTAAGAATTGTCTCAGCTCGATCCCAGTTTTGGGGGAAAAATTTCCTCTGGGGGTGAATTTTAGGGTTTCTTCCTCTTTTCCTTTCATCAAACCCTCGAGTGGTCCGACTGTATTTTATGTGAGACCCGCAAAGACATTATACATTTACAAATGCCCTTATCTTGCCCGGAATTTGAATCCGAATCCAAGGCTATGGAATTCGGCAGAATGCTTTGGTAAAAACATGGCATGCATGAAGCAAACATGGATGAAAGTCCTGGCCTTATAAATTCCTCCATAAGGGCATTCCCATTCTTGAGAAGATAGGCCTGGCGTTTTGAAATTAAAGCAAGTTTGCTTCATGCATGCCAGTGATTGTCAAACTTATTCTTAACATATTTATCCGAAGAAAAGTCTTAAACATTATTGCAGAAATCCTCCATAAACAGTCTTATAAATACCGGCAACGTGAATTTTAATTAGATTGAGAAATCTGTTGATCTGATATTATTACTTACATTCCAATATTTTATCGAAATGCCTTCAAATACTAATCTTTCTATTCTTCAGAACAATTGGAAAGAAAGTTGGGCCTGAGATAAATCTTCCATGCTATAATATTTTCGGTTTACAGTGCTATTGTTGAGAAGCAATTTAATCAAACTGTCAACAAAAGATTGTTTTGTTGAATTTGATTATATTGCCATGATATAATAAAATAACTGAATTTTTCGAAAATGGAGTGCAAAATTTGCTTCAATTCTAAGGGCACTTTATTACGTTACTGGATTATGAATAATTTGTAATTTTGGTAGAAAACTGAAAAACAAATACCAGTGTAATTAAATAGTTTCTCTTTACACAATAATCAA